AAAAATCACTAGTTTTGAAACATGTGACACCGAACAAATCACTAGTTTCGTTACGTTTCTCGAAAATGACGTAACGACTCACGCCTAATTGTATAAACTAACAATGTCGTCTCGAAAGCGCCATATTTTGACCAATGAAGGAGTAGCGACAATGGAGGGGGGGGGGAATGTCGCCATCTTAATAATTTTGAAATTCCAGAAAAAACATTCACATGCACTGTTATAATATACTAACTTCCGCCTGCGACTCCGTTCGTGTGATAGTAATAAAAACAAAAGAAAGAAGCCTATTTGTTCTTCCAGACTATCCTATCCATCTATGTCAAATTTCATCGAGACCCGTTCAGCCTTTTAGGCTACAAACTCTAACAAACATCCATCCATCCATATGTAAACGTTCACATTTATAATATTAGTAAGATGGATTGTTCATGTAACAGGTAACATGTAACACGAGCATGTTGATGATAACTTATGATTACTCGTTAACACACGTCTGAACAAAAAGTGCAGAGGCTACTTTGTCTTTGCCTGAATATTAAGATGTAATAACTTAAATATAAAAAAATACTACGGGCACTCAGGTCTCAAGTTGCAAATCATTAGCATTAATATATAGTTTGGTTTAATTTTCGTGTGGAGAATTTCGAAAGAAGGCGGGAAATTTTTGTTTCCTGGTAACTCAAAAACTAGCAGACCCCGCCCTACCAATTGAAAAAGAAGCCTCAAGATCAATATCAAGTGATTAGTGTTGCTATACTTTTAAGGGTTTGCCGGAATTGGTATTTTTTTTGAGCCTAAAACTACCAGTAACTCTTAAAATTAATATTTGCGCATTTAGGGGAGTATTTTTAAGTCAGAGGTATGTTTTTTGATTAAGTTCAAGATTTCTTAACAAAGGGAAATACAACAAATCTAACAGAAAACTCTCCTTCCACTTTTTAGCACGTCCTGTAAACATTACAATATAATCATGTTGGTTACATCAATTTCACAAAATACTAATGTACAGTCTGAGAGAAGAGAAGAGAGAAACTGGCGTTATTCCACCTTAAATGCTACAAACGTTTAAACATTTTGAATCGAGACGCGGAAAAAAATTTAAAATGCAGCTTATAAAGTATCTTACAAAGTATTAATCTTATAATGTATTACTTGTATTAATACATATTATTCCCTTATTCATTTTACTTAACAGAGACAGAGAGACTACAATACGTATCATTATCATCCTCCATCCTCAGTTATGTTGAGCAGGAACAGGAAGATGAATCAGTTATTGGTAGTAAATGGCACGTTACAAAGTAGGAGCTAGCAACATTAAGTTTCGCAACAACAACGCTTTCGGCCAGAGTGTTTTCTTATCTTTTGCGCATTCCCAACCCCAACTTTGAAACAGAAATCGATACAAGGTTGATCTTGATCGTTTATTGATTTATCAGACTCCAGTTATATTTTCACTTCATTGTCTTGCTAACACAGACATTATAATTTGAGTTAATGCAATGAAAGTGAATCCGTAATTGCTTTTGAACAACGAATGTGATGTGCAAAATATTCTAAATCAAATCCTGTAAACCAAGTATTTTGTATTAATTATTTACAGTTGATACTAAATAAAATATAAAAGAGACTACGAGACCACAAAATGGGCGATCCATTGGGTAAGTTTTAACTTTCCAATATCATTAAAACTAACTGCTATTTTTTACGCATAATCAGAAATAACAGAAATATCCACTTCATTATAGACCTATACGGACTTTGTTACATTTTATGAAATACATATTGTGAATTACTCAAATTCACAAGTTCTCATCTTGTACCTGATTTTCTCATAGATTTTGTAATAGTTTTGCAATAATTACAAATCACAGGTATGAAAGCATAGTAATAATAAGTTTAGTCTTTAAGCTAATATTTCACAATATTATAAGTTCCTCTTCATTGCAGAGCTGACCACATGGCCAAGTCATGAAAGTACATTTTATGAAATAACTAGTGGCGCTGTAGCATTCTCAGTGAGAGCAGCGCGAAATATTGTCATAGGTTTATCCAAAAAAGTAATCCGCACCTGTGACTATTGGGTATGTAACACCTTTCATTTTTAAAGAAAATTCAGATGCCTTTGGTATTTATTTATATATATTTTCAATCATTAAAAAAACGTAATCTATTGACATTTTTTTAGATTGTATTGAGCAATGATCCTCACAGTTTCATAAAAAAAGGTAATGAGCACCGTGTAAAGGTTCGTACACCTGGAGTTCTCAGTCCGGAGAATTATACAAAGTTTTGGATTACTTGGTATGGGAACTTCATTAGACTTGGCCAGGGAGATGACCCTAACCCTTTGATAACCTGCCCCAATAAGGTGCCTGGTTTGCGTTACATTACCCTCGATGTCAAGTCGCGAAGGGAGAGAACACCTGTGCATTGGAAGGTTGAATGTACGTGTTAAATTATTACAATTAAATTGTACATCTTTGTTACAATATGATTTTAATTGCTTGCATATCTCTATTAAATTGATTTCATAGTCTATTGCATCATCATATTATTTCATAATATTTTTCAATACACTAGCTATGCAAAATGTACACTTTGTGACTAAGTATTGAGGTGTTGAATTGATTTTCAGTACCACCAATTATTCGGAGCCATAAATTGAAGCGATTAGAAGCTCCGAAACCTTTCTGGTATGACCCTAAACTGTATATGCCATATGGTGCATATATTGGTGGATTTGAAGATGAGCCTGTGTATATAGCTAAAGCCTATCACAACGGTTCAATGGTCCCGGGAAAGTATGTCCGGTCTGACAACGTTTGTTACGTGCCATGGGGCGGAGCTGCTCATGCCAAAGAAGAGTTTCAGGTAGTTATAGTTTACTAAATAAAAGAATCTTGATATAATACTATCTTGCTCATCTTGCTTTACTGATGTACTTTAAATTAAAGATTTTTATTATAAATTGGGTATAAAAACATTGCAATGTACAATCTGGCGGCGTTCCACTTTAAAAGCTATAGTAATTTGAACATTTTGAACGCATTTAGACGACGAGAAGCATATTCAATAGAACATAGTTTCTAAATGTTTCTACCTAAAATGATCCATAAGTGTTACAGCTTTTTTTGATATGCATTGTCTATGCAACTTACTGTTTTGTAATTGGTTATTTGTAAGTTGTCGTGTAGTTAGTCTTGTAAGGAACAAAGGCATTATTCTGAAACTGGAACAACATGAATTTCCTCTACTGTACAGGGTTTATTTGAAAAAAACCATGTTTACTTGATTTATGAGAATTAAACTTATGTGTTTTTATGATCTTTCAGATATTATGCGGCTACAATTTGATATGGATAAGTAGTTACAGTGACCATGTGCCAGTGAATGCGGTCCCTAGCGGCTACTCAGAGGATGATGTGCCAGAGAGGCTTTACATAGGCAGAGCGAGACATGACGGTCACATTATACCTGGCAAGGTGCAGCCGTCTCATAGAGTCTGTTATATCGCTTATAAGGATAAAGAAATTGCTAAAACACACTACCAAATTCTGGTGATACCCAATGGCAGTGAACGTCGAGCGAATAAGTTTTATACTTATGGTTTAGAATGTGATACCGGGTCTGAGTCTGAGAATGATGAGAATGAACAAGATGACTCTGACTATGAGTAAAGAGGTAATCAAGCAATATACTGTCGTAAAACCTGTAAAGTATATCCATCTCGCTCATACTCTTTGTAAGAAAAGGAATAGCATCTTAAACAGGTGATGACAGTTGTATGGTGAATACCATTTAAATATGACAAGTTCATACTATAATTAATATATTATCCACATTTAGATGTAAGTTTCAACTATTTAATACAATATTCAATTCATATGTGATTAATGGAAAAAGTATAGAATTAACAAAATGAGTGAATACTGAATACTGAGTAATTAATAATTATTGATTTATTTTTAACTAACAGGATGCTGTGCCATGTCCCAAATTATTAAAAAAATGTATAAGTTTTTTTTTGGGATTAGCGAAGCTCTGTAATATGGCTGTGGATCTGATAAGGCTTGCAATATCTCGGTTACGAGATATTTTTGTTTTTTATTTTCGTTTTAAGGAGTTCAGCTGAAAAAGGAAGTATGCATATAGGTATTTCCTAGTACTGTAAGTGGACTGTGGAAATGTGAGGATTGGATATATGGTTAGCTGGTCCAACAAAAATGTGTAAAAAAAGTCTTTTGAACAACTTTTTGGAAAGACAAGTAATGGAATAATAAAAAGTAATAAATAGCCGAGAAGTGTATTGAAAAGAATGATTGTTACATACAAGAGGGAATGTTACGACCCATGGAAATACGGGAAGGCAGGGTAAAGCGGTACATTGCTTGTTTGACGGATTTTTCGAGAATTTCAGCTACCAAAACATGTACAATATAGAGACATACCTTCTGAAACTCTGAATATATGATTCCATACAGGTCTTTCGTCAATGGAAATAATCTTATAATAATTAATAATTCAGTATGTATAGACCAACAAGGCTATTTGACCGAGTGGGTAAAAGTCAAATACAATTAAGACAGCTCACTAGCGCCACCCTATCAATGTAAAAATGGTAACAAAATACATTTTTTAAGCTGTCGAGTATTTTATGCTACTTTCTGTCTATATAAGCGGTCACGCATACTGGATTACGTTTGTTTAAATTTTTAATTTTGTTTATATTTTTAATTATTTCCAACGACGTTCGCGAAATCATCGAATTAACGATGGGATCCACTATTCATTAAAAGAAGTATTTCCATTCAGGTTTTTATATAGTTTTTAATAACCAGCCAATAACGCATCTCACCGAGCTAAATATCCCTGTTTGACAATCTCTAATGTATCTTATTTCAAGGACGCTGTCTACAGATTCTGTCGGTTTGGCAATATTTCTTGTGATAATTGTGGCATATATAGATATACGGCGAAATACCGAAACGACATTTAGATATGTAACAGCGGTTTAAATAAGGCGATGTTAAACTTCGAATTGCATTAAAATTTTGACGCCTGACATTGTAAGCGTCGCTTACGAAGCGATGTTTTGTTTCAGTATTCGGCCGTTAGTGTATAAGGAGAAACTAGACTTCATAATTAATCTTTGTATTCTTTCCATACTTATAAAATGGTTTTCCAGATAAAAAAACACCCATTTAGATCTATGTTTAATGGACAATTAAAAAATATGTTATTTGGTGTATTTCTGAATAAAGACATTAAAATACAATAAAATGTGTTTGATTTATTATTCAAAGATCTATTCCCCTAATAACTTACAATTAAATAAATGAATTACATATTATTTTACATATGCAATTAATTGATTAATTTAATATTCTCTTGACGATTTTGAACATAACGGACCAGTGTAAAAAGTGAGTAGGCAGTTTTTAAAATCTGAAAGTAAAGGTTAACAAATTAAAATAATTATTTATTATTAATTAGTTATAGTGCATAATATACTTACAGATATAAATGTTTGCAAAGCCATCGGGAATATTTTCATTGCAGTTAAAGTTATGGAAATATTTGCTCGTGTCATAAATATTATAATGTTTCGCTTGAAAATATTGGTTTCTTTAATCCATTCAGTGTTGTATGCGTCTAATACTAAACTCTGACTCTAAAAATACAAATAAAAAAAAACATACAGACGAATTGAGTACCTCCGTCTTTTGAGAAGTCGGTCAAAAACATTATATTTGGAAAATATATAAAAAATATCAAAAAACTTTTATACCTCCCGAGTCAGTATAGTTCATAGCCAGGCGGGCACGAATATTCTGGATGTCATCTCTATGAGATATGTTACCAAAAATAAATGTATATCACTCGCCGATGGCTGAAAATAATCTATATCGATTACGATTTAGGTACACAATTGATTTAGCACGTCGGGAATACGAGTAATCTTGTATCAGACGTGCCAAATCATACGACGGGTGTATAAAGTATGTTTTTTAGAAGTAAATTATAGCAGAAACACGTTTGAAAGGATAAGGGCCATAGCAATAGCAAGGAAATGTTCTGAAGCCCCATTTCACCGGTTTTCTTCTATGGTGAAAACTATAAAAGGGTTTTGATATTCTCATGCTAGTTTAATTCGTCGCCAAAAAAGGCATTTGAATAAATATTTCTATAGATTACATTAAATTATAAGATTAAAACAGAAATTAAACCTTACTGTAAGTAATCCACAAAGAGTTACACAAATTATAGCTCCTGTTATACCAAATTGTACAAACGTTGGTAGACTTATTGTTCTTTGAACTTTAGAAGTTAATCTGTAACACAATAGCAGGACGAACGAATGAAGTTAATGGTACTCTATTTGTATTTACGAGTATGCCAACATTATTATAGTTTACTTTAATATAAGTTCATAATGCTTCAAACAATTTTTAAGTTTTAACAGTTTGAAATATCTATTGCTCTCCAGCTCAGAGTCCTGCTTCGGGCTATTTAAATTTATATTCATTAAATCACATTTCAATGTTCTTACAGATGTTATTACGAAAAATATTAAACCAGCGACAAAGGAGTCCATATTTACGTTGTACATCATATGGCCGTACATACAGGACGCTTGGTAAACGAACCAAAACGTAAAATAACGTTCGCGAATTTCATCACTAAGGAAATGATAATTCGATATCGGCAAATGCAAATTTGTATTCCAAATTATATGAGTATAATACAGGAACAAAAACTTCTGAGAAAAATGAAAAGTTCAAAAAGAACGCGTAAATCTTCCATCCATTCTTATATTTCTTTACATCTTTTAATATAATAAGTTTAGCGTCTTCGTTATTCTCCACAAATTCTGTACAGTCTAAAATATCTAGAACTTCCAAAATGGTATGGCGATAGTACAGAACTGTAACAACTTTTGCTGATATAGCAATTTCATTAAAATAAAAGAGAACTTCTCTTATTAAAACATCAATTTTCGAAGGCGTGTGGAACAGGTTTACAGTGAGAATACCATTATAAATTATCAACGTTATAAACAGGTATAGTACCGAAAAATATCTGTAATATTTACTAAATGCTCGTCCAGGCCAAATACCAAATATCTTCCAGAAAAAGAAATTTATTTTAAAACAATCTGTTTGGCATGCATTCGGCATAGCTGTTTTAACAATTTTGTCCAATTTTGCCGCCAATTTTTTGAGACTATAAACAATTACAAACTAGGCAGTTCGATTTTCCACGCTTTAATAGTATCTTAGTTACACTGCATATGTACATAATAAATTACACTTTATGCATAATAAAATCAATTTCTTACTCTCTAATATTAAATTTCGTATTTAATTGTAGAGTTTCGCCTTAACCTGTGATTAGTTATTCGAAGTAAATTAATACTTCATACATGTATTCTCTATTACATGTGTAACTTTATTAATAAATCTATTACTTGTATTAAAGAGTTCTAGAAATATTGAATTAAGCTTAAATACATATAAATGGTGATATAAATTAGGGATGTTGCGAATATTCGCATCCGCATCCGCAAATGCGGATCTTCCGCATAGATTTGGACATCTGCATCTGCATCCGCATCCGCATTAATCAGTGCGGATGTTCATGCGGATGCGGATATCATGCAAGTAGCCGGGCAGGGTTTCTAGCGAACAAATATTTAGTAATCGCCCTGAACCAGAAAAGGCACCAATACTCCTGTTCATTAAGTATAATGCTCCTATTTTTAATTTTAATTACTAATTTACCAATAGGTGTTTAACATACAGGGTTATTGATAATTAGACGTATCATTTGTAAAAAATTTGACCCCTATATGCAATAACCAAAAGTTAACCGTATTCGAGTAATCTTGATCTTTCGATTTTTTCAAAATAAGTCGAAATTGCAACTTAAAAAATTTATTTAAAAATAAACTATCCATGAAAACTTAATTTTTTCTTAGTCTTAGTCTTAGGAACTTAGTCTGCAGATTTTTTTAAAAACATGCCCGTTTCCTTAGCTCTCCAAAAAATGCATAATAACCAGGAGCTTGTCCTCACTGTAATAAACACATGATTTCAAAGGAATCGGGCGGTATTCGTACTCGAACTAATGTTGGTTTTGAAAACTCCCATAAAAGTATTTAAAAACCATAACAAACGTAAAATAAACCAAAAACACAAGTTTAAATAAATTGAATTAATGAAATTAACAATGAATATTAAAGTAACAATCAAGATATTTTGAAGTTTCCCCTCGGGCATCCAATAATAAGGAAAATCGCAGCTATCACCTTTTTTATTCTATTTTCTATTTATGGCTCTCCCTCAGCGGATTGGGCAACAGCTATCACCTAACATTACCACCTAAATGTGAAGGTCATCCGTCCTTCTTGTATGTCATGCTTTGTCCTGTTGCCAAAGGTGGGTTTACGAAGAGATTGTTTTAATGACAGTTATTTATTAAACTTAGTGGTTCTAAATTTTATTTTGAATTTGTGTTTTTGGTTTATTTGTCGTTTGGCACTGTTTTTAATTACTTTTATGGGAGTTTTCAAAATCTACCGTAACTTTAGTTCGAGTACGAATACCACCCGATTCCTTTGAAATCATGTGTTTATTTCAGTGACCTGGGGACAAGTTCCTGGTTATTATGCATTTTTGGAGAGCTTAGGAAACGGGCATGTTTTAAAAAAAATCATCATCATAATGATTTTTTTCGTTTTTAAGGCATTTCAGTGGATGAGAATCTCAAAAAATATTGAATAATTAATTACTATATTATATAATTACTCGAAAACGGTTAACTTTTCGATTATGCATATAGGGGTCAAAATTATCACAAATGATCCCCTCTATTACCTCCTAACGGAAATACGTCTAATTACCAATAACCCTGTATACTAATGTTTGATTAATTACAATAAAAATATGGATATTAATAATAAAGGCTGAAATGATGTTGATGGTGATGATGATCACGGTTTACATATTATCTTAACATCCGCATCCGCATCTGCATCCGCGGATGTGAGCCCTCAAAACTCCGCATCCGCATTCGCATCCGTGGATGTGAAAAAATCAACATCCGCAACATCCCTGATATAAATGTTAATTAGGTTAGTTTCGTAATTCACGCCCCTTCGGACAGGGAGTTAGAAGAGGAATTAGATTTTGATATATTATTTCATACGTTTATTTGATTTTTTATAGTTTAAAACAGCCTATTCGTTTAATGCATTACGTGTTAAAGAAGTGTTAAGGTTAAAAAAACAATAAACTATCTAACAATTTCCTATACAAGAGAGAACAATGTATTTTTTTGAAATAAAACTGGCCTACTTAGAATAGCATTGGTACAGAAGAATAAAACCTGCTATACTGACTTTTAACTGACAGTTCTAGATTTTTCAAGCACCACCGATGTGTATTACAGTTTTTCAGAATCATATTTGTCAGGATTCATATAATCAATAAAATGGCTGAATCAACTGCACCGCCGTCGGATACCGCCGATACTGATATTCCTATTGCCACTACAGGTAACTTGAAAACTACATAATTACAGTCTTCAGGGTAAGGCGTTGTGAGGCGACCGTTCACGGTGCCAGACGTCAGGCGCATACAGGGCAGCCAAGGGCGCTTTTTCTTTCATCTAATTTTGTATTGCAATTACAAGGCGCCTTATAAATCTTGCACAGATCGCCGGTTTTGCTAGGATCGGCCCTTGCTACATATGGTTTTTAGCCAGAACGCCTACTTCAAACAAAAGGAAGCTAGCATAGCAATAGACTGCAGCACTACTGTTAGAAAGCACTTCAAAGCAAAGCGTTCACTGTTAAATATAAACAGTACGTAGCTAATAAAATCGTATTTCATAGCGTCGGAGTATCCGCCATACCCTCCGTACTCCACGGCGACAGCGCCCCCTTCCGTCGCTGAAACTATTGTCGCGGGCCGTGACCTGCGACGGAAGTTCAAATTCTTACCCCAAAGACCGGCGCGGCCTCCACCAAGACCAGCTAAGCCAAGGTAAGAGTAACAATTAAAATTTTATCTGTCACTTCAAGAATAGAGTACCTTTTTGCCTGTTGTGCCTAATAAACTGCCTGGTATTACTATTCAGTTCTCGTCATACATGTAGTAAAACTTAGAGATCTTATCTCAATACACACAAATAAGAATAATTCTGTCTCAGTAACGTTCTATTTCTTGTTACCAAGGGGTCCAAAGGCTACAGATGTGAAGCTATCAAAGCGTCAGTACAGGGCACATGCCCGCTGTCTGCGCCGCCACGGTGCGGTGCTTACTGATCGGCTGGAACACATGTCCAAACCCAGCCGGAGGCATATGATATATTTATGGAGAGAGCATGCTGATATTTTGACACCAGACGCGGTATGATACTTTTTTAAAATGTGTACTTATATGGGTACTTGTGGGTAATATGTAATCTAAACTCACTCGTGGGTAATACTTTTGGAAATAGTCAAACTTTTATGTCAGTTCACAAAACAGACCAGGGGACATCTTGAATTATTTTGTGTTTAAATATGTTCGTATTCAACTACTTTGTAAAAAAGTTGTTGTAAAATATCTTATAAACATAAAGTACTGATTATGTGCGTTTTCTGTTTAGATCGGACGTATCAGGGCCATGTTGGACGCTGATGAACCTTTTAAGCCGGAGCAAGCTTACGAGTATTTTGTCAACTTACGGAAAACGAAGAGGAAACGAAACAAGTACGTGCAGAGCCCTTCTGTATAATTGTATTGTTTAAAAAACTATTTCAGCTAACATTTCTTTTCCTTTAGGAAGCTAAGACATCAAGGGAAAAGAGATTTGCTAGCGATATGCGATGATAAAAGATTCCTGTGGGCGAGGAACGCGACCGTTGCGTTTGCGCGCGGGATTCAACAACGTCTTGCGAGGCCTGGGCGTTACGCTCTTGCCGATGGGTACGTTTTTTCTATCTTACTAATATTATAAATGCGAAAATGTAAAAGGATGTATGGATTATTGTTAGAGTTTGTAGCCTAAACTGCTCAACGGATCTCGATGAAATTTGGCATAGATGTAGACTATACTCTGGAAGAATACTTAGGCTACTTACTTTTGTCTTTTCTTTTTAATTCCACACGGACGGAGTTTCGGGCGAAAGCTATTATAATAAAACTTATAAGCTGTACTAGATTTAGCGTCACTGGCACCCTCGGTGATATTTCACCCACGGCACCACAGACAACGTAAAGAACAGTTACTTCCCTTAAAATACTTATAATTTTTTTGTCCGAATAGAATGCTGTGCCTTTCCAATTTGATCTTAAACGACATTTGCGGCTTTATGCGAATGAAGACTCCATCGCGAACCAGTACGAGTCCAAAAGCAAAGTTCATGATGGAGATGTCTGACAAGGTACCTTTGCAATGCGATAACTTAGTGAAGGAGACTGCACGATAAAATGTAATATTCGTTCTCTCGGATCATTCCCAACCGTCACCCCTCTCTGTCCCTACGTGGAGACAGATGAGAATAAAAATATTCATCCGTCCCACCTTTTGCGACGAGGAAACGGTTGGAACTTATTTTATTTCATAACGGGACCATCTGTCACCTTATTGGTGATCTACTATCACTAAAAGATGGGACGGATAAAACTTTTTATTCTCACGTGGGGACAGAACGCGGTGACGGTTGGGAATAATCCGCGTCAGCGTCCGAAAAATGATTGTCAAATTTGTCATATCATGCTATTCATGAAACAAATAATTTTATAAATATGTACATCTTGACAAAAAATATCTTTAACATGACATTGTCGTATCAACAGATTGCTGTGTGGATCGATGAAATCCTAACGGAGTCTGATGATCGCATGCTGATGATGGACTTTGACGAGGATGATGGTATGTTGATTTACTATAATAATTGCAAGTAATGTACGGAAGCATAGTTAATAGTAAATAGCTGGTAGATAGGTTAGTTTCATAAATTCACAACACTCAGGAATCCATGGTTCAGTAGTAAACGAAATTCGAAGTATACATTTAAAATGTGAGTTGAATTCGTCGTGGAATTTAAAACATCAGTGTAAGTGCAAGTATTCTTTTGTTCGAGAAGAAGTGCAAAGGAGCTACGCTGATGATGAAAAGCCTGAAGTTAGTGAAGACAAAGTTAATTCTGAATCTAGAGCTGATCTGACGCTGTCACAAACCAGTTCATCTGCAGCTGAAAAATAAAAATCACTATCTTCTTCCTATAAATAAAGTCCAGATATTATGAAATATAAAATCGGATAATGGTACGTACGTTTTTCAGTTAACTTAATGTTTCGTCCACTGCTAAGTACAGTTTTGTCTGTTTGCTACGATACTTCAGTTTGTTGGCATTTGTAAACATTTTTGGTGCTATGATCTAAATTGTTGCTTAATGGATAACCTAGGAATTAGAGATGTGGTGACTGCTTTTTTTAAACAATGTTATATTTGAATGCATGTGGATGTTTTTTATTATAGACGTGATCGCGGCGGACGCGGCCGGAGATACGAATTTCACTGATGATTTTCTAGAAATGATGCAACATGTGAGTCCTGACAAAAAATCCAACATTATCATTGTGCCTATCACAACAATGTACAGAGCATTTCGTGACAATTTCAAACTAATTCATATTTTAAGCATAATTATTACTAAGAACTTCCTATGGTGGTGCTTTTATGTTATAAATTTCATGTACGAAATGCTGAAAACAAAACCAATTAAAAGAAAGTTACAATTTGATAGTTTTTTTATTTTCCATTTGGATATGAAACTTTTGAACACGACTGAAAGGTAAATAAATGTTTGCGTTTATTTATTGTTTATTGAGTATTTTAAAATGAAAATTATTCTTCATTTTCCTTATTTTTCAATCGTGTTCATTTTTCTATTATTATATTAAATCGTATTTAAATGGAGAATGAAGGATAGTTGTAGATGAAAATTGTATTTCCTTACTGTTATTTGTTTTTTAAATTAATTATTGACTCTTTTATTTTATTTTCAGGGTCAAGATCAACCTTTGAAGCAGAGTAAGTGAATACATTTCTACGTATTTAAATTAAATTCAGTTTATTTACTTAAATCTCCTTTTACAGCTCCAGCTTATAAGCAATTTACTGGTAAGTTATAATAATTTGTTGTGTGACGTTATTTGTGGCTTTATTCTATCGAGTGATATTTTACAGGTGATATGCTTGAAGTTTTTATAATTTTAACCAATGCCATGTATAAAGAAGGCGATGTGACATTAATAGATCACGGCAAGTTTAAACAATCATATTCAGATGCGGCGAATTTGTAAGTACAGATTTTAAATACAAGTTAGTCTTAGTTCTTAATGCATTCTCTCTGACAAAAGTAACAGTTCTAAAATATGTATATCCTCTTATATCTGGAAAGACATACATCCTTACAAATAATATTTGTCTATACTTTGTTTATTCTTAAGTTTATAACGCGTCTATTTGTAAGGCTGTTAGAGTTACTAAACATATTTGTTTATTTGCAGGCTTAAAGAGACTTCCACATTTGATGTCTTGGAAATAAACAGCGTTGTAGTGAAAAAAATTAAAAAATCACTTTCAGATGTAGCACACCCTCTAACACCGAAGAATCTAGAAGCTTCTATGAAAGGTATTTGATGATTTTATAACTGTCTCTAATTTAAAGGTTTACTTTGTCTATGGGAAACGGTCGCTTCGACCTTTCGGCGAATTCAGGTGGCCGTTCGCTCGTTGCCATGTTATAATATACTAGCTGTTGCTGACTTCGTCCACGCGAAATTATGGTACTTTTCAGTTATTTCAATTCATACGAAAATACAATTTCTTCCTATTTATAACATTACACACATTATTTTCAGCCATGGTCGATTTATGCTCGAAGTTCTTAGCTGAGAATGCTGATAATAACAGTGAGTACGAATAATTTATTATTTCATGGTTGGATTTTTTTTAATCATTATCGTTTGGTTTCAGAGGACAAGGGGCCAGGCTTTAAGCTGTTGATAAGTACATTACGTAAACAGCCGAAACAAGTATTATTTGAAAAGGATAGGATAAAAGAAACATACGAAGGAGCCGCGACAGAGTAATGTGTTTACATATTTTTAAATATACATCATACTAAATATAATTCTTATAAAAATTAGTCAACTAATAAGCCAGCTAGAAAAAACAAATAGCCAGATATTTTCAGTAGGAGTTTAGTAATTATAGTTAGGATTTATTACTTATGTAAATTAACAATACTTATATACATTTCTCTTGGTAATTAAAAGGTTAACTAATGCGAGAAGCTTAGAAAGCGACCACGACGATCAGGTTCTAACAGAAAAAATACAAGAGGCTCTGAGGAAAGTGGTTGTAAAGGTCACCCCACACGACATGCAAACTGACATGAATGGTAATAACTGCACATCGATACATTACTAGTATTCACGTGCGGCTTCATCTGTAAGATTCCGAATTTCACGTATGCCTTCTTTTCTAAATTATTCACCTCCTTAATTAAATAACGTGAATATATAGCCTATAGCGTGACGTATGTGTAGTGTATTTTATTTGAAAAAGAATTATTTAAAAATAAGGAGTACTAGCTGAGATCCTACATAACAAATTTGTTTACGCTTTATTATGTTAGTATAGATTTGATGTTCATTTTAATACATAACTAATAATCTTCTTTTATTACAGAAACTATTGATCTTTGCTCAAGGTATTTATCTGAGGCTGCCATAGATAAGTGTAAGTTGTAACTTTGATTTAATTGTTCAATCATCATCATCCCTTGCCTTATCCTACTCCCGTAAGGTCGGCGCACCGGGTTTTCGTCATCCAAAGCACTCTATCATCCGTCATCTCAGTCACCACTGCCTTCTTGATCATGTCACCTTTCACGCAATCCATCCATCTCTTTCAAGGTCTACCTCTACCGATGTACCCCTCCACATTCATAACTAACATCCTTCTTGTTACATGCGATTCATCCCTTCTCATAACATGCCCATACCACTCTAACCTTTTACTCCATTATTAATTTATTGTTTAATTGTTCAATAATAATATTATAGTATAAAATATAAGTTTTAACTTTCATTTAATTGTTTTATAATAATAGTAAAATTCTTATTTTTAATTATGTTTTAGTGGAACGAGGTCCAGCTTTCGATATTATGATAAAAGAACTAATTTTCCACGGGGCGAAGCCTTTTATACCTGAATTCCATGACATAGATACTAATTTTGGAGTTGCTCATGTGTTAGTAGCTTTTACAATTTTACGAATTAAATTTAAAAAAAATGTTTTGTGTGAATTTCTTTATACTTAACAATATTACTATTAACTAGACAAGACCTCTTTAAGTTTTTAAGGTTTGATTTTTTTTTTAGAATAATTGCAATTTGTTCGAAAAGGACTTAATTCAGTTCTTATTATCCTAACCTTTAAGCATACAGATATTTGTTTTTAGGGTTAAATATAAACTAAAATGTTACCATCACTTATTTGTTAGGTTAAGTAAAGCGCCGGGCTTGTCCAGTATACAACCAGATCCACAGTCAAGACCTTTATTCGAAGAAGCTTTACATAAAGTCGTCGACTTAGTAACGCCCAAGGTTTTAAAGCAAGAAATGAATGGTGTGTACAAAACAATAAAGAAGATTAACCTCAAAATATTCATTTGTTTAAAATACAAAAAACAAATACATTTGTTTTAAATTTCAGAGGTTATAAAAAGGTGCGCTAATTATTTATCCGGTTATGTACGGGATAGAGGTAAAGATTTTTTCTCTGATTTGATTGAATTATGATCAAAATAAGAAAACGTGTTACCTAGTTATTATGTGTTTGAAATGAAAGTTAAATATTTAAACGATTTGCATATTGTGTTTTTTTGCACTGCACTTCTTAAGCTGTCATAACCGCGTTTACTTTTAGAGCATGCTTTGAAGTTACTGGTAGAAACAATGAGAAAGACGCCGACAAAGGATCTCGCAAAAAGGGATGACTATGCGATGGCGTACGGAACTGGAGCCGAAGAGTAAGTTGTACAAACTTAGTAACATTGATTTATTAATGTCGTAACATTCTTTATTATTTACGTTCCCAGGACAGAGAATACACGTAGTTTAGTGCCATATTTGCCCGTGAAAGATATAGCAGTGGAAATTAAGGAAAAACTGGCGACTGACGTTAAACCTGTCACTCCAGCACAACTACATGTACCAATGAAAGGTTAGAATTTCATTACCTCTTTAATTTTTTAATTTTTTGCTGACGCTATTCTTTTTTTTTAAGTTCTCGTACGAAATGTCGCTGATGTTTTGTCTCAACCGATTGCTATGAAAAGTAAGTGCAAATTTATAATGGTGGTTTACAATCATTTTTTTTGTTTTCTAATATTTTTTTTGAACACTAGGTGGCGCTGCGGGTGAAACGTATCCAATGGATTATTTGATAGCAGTAGAAAAGTCGATGGGAACAAAACCACTTTACGAGTACAAAGGCTACAGCGAGACGCACGCGGGTGCAGCAAAATCGTGAGTATAGATTAATCCAAGCTTTCAATGTTTTTATTACATAGTCTATGGTCATTATTCCAACTGTAATTTTTACCATCATGAGTAAGGTAAACCCTTTATAATGTAGAAAATCCAATTACATGTCTTTTGCATAGTTCGTTTGTCTGAAACAGATTATTTTTTCTTACTAGATTGCAAGCTACTCCAGTGCCAGACGACACAATACAAAATAAAGAATTGGAAAAAGAAATTCGCACTGAATTGCAATCATCGTTGCCGCCAAAATTAACACCGTTACTTAATAAAGAATTAGATGGTAAAATACACAATGACATTTCTTACTTGTAGTGTTACATTCGATAATTATTTGGAAATTATTATTAATTTTAGCTCCCATTACTGAGGCTGCAAATAAACTTGCAAAAATTGGAACTGTGAAAGGTAAGTAAAAAAATCGTATAGTTTATTAAAATTTACTCTATTTGTATATTTTTTTAAAATGTTCTTTAGGTATCGCCTTTGAACACTTGACAACTGCGATGAAAGAAAAGGGTGAGGAACAACTCGTCAAAAAGAAGCAGTACGAGGAATCTTACGCAGCCGGAGGGCAGAGGTTAGTAACTCAAAAGTTTTCAAATGTTGGGTAATTCGAAAAAAATCGACCATAATTATCGAAGGATTTTTGTGATAAAAAAAAAATTATGTATTTCTTCATAAACTGTGTGAATTTTTACCCATTCACGTAATTTCGAATTCAAATGTAATTTTTATAGTTCATTTTAAAAATAGGTTAATAGACGCCACAAATCTAGCGACTAAAAAAGTAGATGAGGCAGCATACGAAAAAGTCAAAGGTAAACTCGCCAAACTTGTTGAAGATAAACCACCACCGGAAAAGGCTAAACAGCAGATGGAAGGTTACTTTTTTTCTATTTTTTTTTTTACTTTTAAACAAGCCAAAGATTCACTTTTTGTTTTTTTGCTTGAGTTTTAAGATATAATATATTAAATCACGTTATGCGAGTTTTATTCGATTTTTTTTACAGCAATAATTGAGGAATCTTCAAAGTACTTAACGGCACCACTTGAAGGTAAAAAATTTCAACTACAAATGTATTAAAAGTAATGCAAGCAATTTAATTAATTTAAACTATACTTATAGATGAACAGGATAAAAGGCGTTTCTTAGCCGATTTAATGGGTAGAAAACAAGACGAAGTGTTAGCACAGGAAAAGTCTTACAAAATCACATTCAAAGAAGGTGGACAAGAGTAAGTCTTGTTTAAAACTTACGTTTTATCTCAATATACGTCCCCACTAACGGGCTTGGAGCCCTTAAGAGTGACTACGTTAGTCAACCACGCTAGCAAAGTGCGTGTTGGTTGACTACACACATATGTTTGAATTTCTTCGCCGATATTTGCAGACATCACGATTTTTTCCTTCACCGTAAAAATGACTGGTAAATTATTTAAATATGAAATTCGAAAATGACATTGGTACATGGCGGAATGTTACGGTAGGAACGGGCGGGAACCCAAGACCTGAAAATTACATGTCAAGTGCTTAAACCCCAGAGCCACCGACTTGATGACATTTTTACGGGATAGTAATTTAAAGTAAGACTGGTTCTAGACTTTTAGACGCTCCAGCAATACCAGCAAAGCCTGTGGATCTACAACTTAAGACTGATTTGCAGCAAAAAATAGGCAGCGTGGTCACTCAAAAGGGTTTGCAAAGTGTATTAAAAGGTTAGTTTACTTTTTCTTTAGTTTACTAAACAAGGGCCAATTCGCCTAATATTTTATGACGCCTTTTCGAGTGAATATTTTTTTTTTTAATTCCATTTATTTTAATTCCAGATACTGTATCCGATGCGGCTAGTAACTTAACAAATATTGTAAAAGGAAGGGGTAAGCATAATAAAATAGCGTTGTAAGAGTAATGCGAATTCTCTCCTATTATTTCTTTAATTCTATCCCATTTGTAGCTAAATTTCTTTAAATTATGTGATTTTATAAATCTGTTAGATTACTGTTAAATATTTAATTTGCAGGAGAAATTATAAAAATTATACACGATGATATGAGAACTGAAGCACAGAAACCTTTCTTGTCCGTTGGAAAATTTAACAAGACACACGACCAAGCTGCGGAAATGTAATCACTAATTTTTATATTGTTGCACATTATGGTGTTTAGTTAGTATTAGTAGTTTAGTATTCTAGAAGATAGTCCCGGATTTACATTTTGAATTGCTAAGATACTTTTTAATTTTTTCTATTTTAATTAATTTAATATGTTAACAGGATACACACAGCGCCAAATTTTAGCACGTCCAATTTTGCGCCGAAAATTCATAGGAAAGTTACCGATCGTATTAACGAACTGCCCTTGAAGGGCGTCAGCCAAGCAGCCATGCCACACGTCCCACGTATTTATCACACTTTTTATAATAATTGAGAGATAGTATGCAAATAATAGTACCTATCGGATATCTTGGCGATTCTTAATATTGCGCGAATCGCTGCTCAGAACATGAGTTGGATAACATAACATATGAGAGGGAGAGTTTTCAGGCCGATGACCTTAACCATCCAAAATCTTTGAAATGAACTATACCAAATGTAATAGAACGGCCGGCAACCGTCATGGCCTAACCTTTTCCTTCCCATCCTTTCCTCTTAAGAAAAGGGTGAAAAGGAAAAGGGACTAAAATTAGGCCTCCGGCACCACACTCACACATCAGACGAAACGCGGAATTGCTTCCGCTTCACTCCTCTTTTCGGTGTGTATAGTTATTTCAAATGTAGCGTTCTAGAGGAAGCAAATTAAAACACGATTCTGCTACGTTATATACTCGTTTTTAGCAAGTTGAATGATTTTTTAGTTTAAGCCTTTTATCATACGAGACAAATTGTATTTCATTACAAATTTATTTTAATATTTGCTTTTAGACGCAGTGGATACAGTATCAAAATATATTGCTGGCGTCGCTACAAAGGAATGTAAGAATTCGTAATTATTGTTAATTTATAATTTTATGTATAACTCTAATCTTATTTTGTAACCATGTACAATATTTTAAATTGCGCAAGACAATCGTTAAAAGATGGCGCTGCCTCCTGAAACACAGTTATTACTAGCTCTGGACACAGAGTACCACTAACTGTACTAAATTGTTTTGGATCAATAAAGTTTTTTTTTTTATGTAACTTACTAACACTTTGTACAGGCGGACTGGACCCTAAGGAAATTGATGCATGGGAGTAAGTTATTTTTAAATACCCTTATTTATTTTTCAAAGATTTGATAATTTTTGTTCTGGAATAAATGTAATTTCTACAACATTGAAGAATTCATAAAACTCTTTCACGTATTTTTGTATCGAGTAAGGTAAATTATGTTTGAGTTGATATAGTGTAATAATAATTTAACCTCTGAATTCGTAAAGACCAACCGAATCCGATAAACGCCGGAGAAGTAGCAGTTTGCAATCGAAGTTACCATCGCAGCCCCGGCTGCCGTCGCAACCGCGGTTACCATCGCCACCAACTATACAATCGCAAGGCCAACTGCAACCGCAACAACAACCGCAATCGCTACAGCAACTGCAATCACAAGCGCAATTGCAATCGCAATCGCGATCGCAACCGCAAGGATCAACTGAATCGCAACAGATACAAATACGAACTTTCCAGAAAAAAGAAGAACCGAAAAAACCTGAAAGAGAAACAAAAGCCACAGGTTAGAATTTGCATATTAAAAAACCTACACATTTATTTAGTAATGTAAATTAAAATCGTATGACAAACGTTTTTTATAAAATACTAGCTGTTCCTCGCGACATCGACCGCTTGAAAAAAATACCCTATGTTACTCACAGATAAATTATCTTTCTAATGGTAAACTAATTTTTAAAATCTGCCCAGTAGTTATTGAGTTATTTCAATACGTACAAAAATACAAATCTTTCCTCTTTATAATATTAGTATAGATTTTATTTTCTAATTTAAAACCACGATAATGCATATCTAATTTAGATGTCGACATGGACCACGAACAAGCTGTACAAATTCTGCAACAGAAGCTGAAGGCGAGAGGCGGTGAAATTTTTTACAAGCAACCTCATAACGAACTATCTCACGCGATGGCAGCTGACTGGTAACATATTTTATCGATTCAGCCCCCTTAAAAAAACTACCATTCAATTATCGCTATTGCTCATCGAAAAAAGCGTTGTTATTCAAATAACCCGGCTGTCGAAGACGGTCATCCACATAGCCTTGTTGATTGTTTGTAATTTTAATTTTCATCGCTTATGTTTTATCATACATAAGGATGAAAAAGGGACAAAAACGTTTGCAAACTTTCGGATTTAAAAATGTCTCGTTTGTTTATAAACTATAAAAATCGCATTTGTGCAGGATATCGGAGCTGCCGCTGACTACGGATAAATCTGTGAAAGAGTCGTCGGACACGGGCCGGCTGCAGAAGAAGTTTGAGAGGAAGCTCAGCGCGCTCGTCGCCACGGACACGCCGCCGCAACTCAAAGATTCCATGCAAGGTAACATTGGCCCCGGCCGCTACTGCTAAAGGGGGGGGGGGTACTAATAATACAGTCTTATTTGAAGTAGATTAAGGGCATCGCCTCTACACCAACGCGACGCCCCTCGCGAGCTAATTTTTCCATCCAGAGTTTTTAGTAAGGGCAAACAGAAAACATTTCTCGTCGACGAGGCTTACCAGGCCTACCTCCAGGTAGAAGTACAGGCTCGAGACTTCTCTCTTTCTCGAATCTATTAAGTAACTAACCTCGTTTAAATTGATATGTGTTTAAAGACTTTTGCGTTGTTTTTTACAGATGTTATTATTGAATCTTCAAGGAATCTCTCCGAAAAATTTATGTCCAAAAGTAAGTGTTCATTTTTCCCACAAAGTAACTAAATAGGTACATGGCTTTTTTATTAAATTGGACTAAATATTAATTGTAACTTCTTACGTGCAAGAAAATTCAAAACAATTGGAAATTAATCGTTTTTTAAAGGTTACAAAGTGCTGGCGCGGGAGGCTGTTATTTCCGAGATGCAGAATCGCGGTAACGAGATCCTAGCCGAAGTCGGTGCTGACACCGAATCTTATTTCTACTCGGCTCAAAGGTTCATATTTGATAATTTTTATTTTAAAGTTCTATAAGTAATCTAACATATTTGTCTTAATGTTAAGGTTAAAGAAAAACAAAAACATTGAAGCGAACGCTCCACGAGAAATGATACAAGAGCAGTTGACACAGAAATTAGGGGAAATGATAAAAGGCCGAGGCACACCGCGTAAAGTGGCTCCGTATATAAAAGGTAGTTATATCTATATTGTTATAATTTATTTTTATTGAAATACATATTAACTATATTAAAAATAAATCATTCTAAAGAGTTTTTAAATCCTTTAGAAAATGTTTTTCGTTACAGATTATGTTCAGACGACAACCGGATATCTTTCCGAACATGTAACTATACCAGGTAAATTAACTATAATTTGTTGAATTTAATAAAAAATTTAATCTTGAAATTAATTATGAACACGGCAATGTTAACATATAAAAATATTAGACAAGGAAATCGAAGCGTATATCGCATTACTTACGGAAGCCGAGGTGGCTGGCGACACCCCACTCGTCGAAGGAAAAATACATAAAACGCATGCTGAAGCAGTTGCGTAGTAAGTATGCTTTGAATTGGCCTGAAATTTCATAGATATCTTAATATAAGAAGTAATTTTCCAACATCCTGTATATTCGAAAATCAGTTGGCGTAAGCTGACAACATTCGATGATGAAATAAACAGACGAGACGGCACGCTGCAGTCCTCTATAGAAAACAAGCTGAGGAAGGTGATGGAAGATGTCACACCCTCGGGTTATGATAAAACAGATCTCAACAGTATGTATTTTGCCTCTGTCTTTTATAGGTTACTATTGTAGATAAACACTTATTTGAACTCTTATTACAGATGTTATCCAGCGAAATGCTGGACTTCTTACATCTTATGTCAAACTTCAGGGTAGGTTTAATATAATAATCGTAAGGGAAAATAAAACACAATGTGATACCAATTTCATTGATTTTATTTATGTTTGCAGAGGAAAAGTCAGAAGCTTTAAAAATATTAGTAGAACAAATGGACAAAGAAAAAGACGCTGTACTTTTGCGTCATGGCACATTGCGTAAGACACATCTTGACGGCGCTAACCTGTACGTAAAATATTTACTAACTATTTATTATTTATTTAATACTTTTGCACAAATAAAACAACAGGAAGCTAAAACTATGTTATTACTAGATCTGCGCAAGGGCGGCCTTATTGCTATTTTTTATTAATATCTTCGTTATTTTTGTCTTGAACTTTTACTAATCATATCTTTATATATTGTCCAGCTTACGAACAAAGACAGCTGATCAATTGAGTGTAACCAATGTAGATCCTGTCGTGTCGAGAAAAATACAAATTAAACTGAAAATATTAGCAAACAAAAGTTTTGCAACAAATAAGTACAAAGATCTCATAGATGGTGAGCACTTATTGTTATTTCGAAGATATTAAATAAAGCTCTTCATTTAAATTTAATATGATTTTGTTTTACAGATGTAGTTGATGATGTCACGAATTATCTTGCCGTATACTTCTTGCAACCAGGTGCATTATTATTTCATTTCTCATTTAAAACAATATTAAGACTTGACTACAATATTTTTTTTATTGCTGCAGAAGTCATCCAAGTTTGTAAATGCATGAAGAATGTCATCGTCCAATGCGAATTATGGTGCGAAGGAAGCTTAAGAAGGATCGGTCGAGTTTGTTCTAGAAGATCCCGTCACGTGTCAATCCAGGATGTATCAGACGTGTGCCCCGGGCGCGCCATGCAGCTGGGCCCCTGCGGCCCGCGCATCTGCGGCTCCGGCGTAGAGATATCCATCAGACAATGTCCACTGAAACACGCAAAGTCCTCACAAACCTGTCCCGTCACCAAACCTTCACCTGGCTGCGGGTCAAACATCACCGCTGGCTATGTTTTGTACCCTTCTCCTGGAGGACCTTTCGACAATATCCCTACGAAACTCTCCGCATCAGAATGTTCAGAAGAATTGACAATATTTACCGCGGAAACCGATGCCGTTTCTACAACTTATAATCCATCTTGCAAAGATGTACAGTTATCTGATTATGTTGAAAGTCAACCTTTTCGAGCACCATTGCCGTTTGAAAAGAAAACCTTACCAAATTTTAGATCTCTGCATATGTTTGGATCGACACCAACTGTGATAGTTGCTCGTGAAACGAATTCAAGTGTGACGGGCAGACCCAAGATCCAGCCGCAAAGTTCATGGACGACCCAGACTAGAAATATTTATAGTTCTCGTAAGTGATAATTAAATTCTCCTCTTTTGTCAATATTTTAGAGACAGCGATATCGACTTTACCCAAGTAATTTGTCTTGGAATGTTTTTTTTAGGGACGCCGATTGTAACGACGGATCAAATGACCGACTGGCACTCTATGATGGTCAGCATTATGTGGAATGTGCAAGCCTGGAAGACTTGGATATATAACAGTATCAAGAAAATTTTAACTTTTCAAGAAAACAGTGGTAAGAAAACCTTTAAATATTTCGTTTATTTGGTACACATTGATGTGCTTTACTTAATTTTGAATTTTACCACACAGATTTAGAATTGGATAAAACTTGGATAAACTTCCAAAGAACAACTACAACTGAGATTTTACAATGGACTCAATACAAGTCTTTTAGCCGACAACTAATTATACGTATTGCTTCAAAATACAAAAACAAGAAGGTGAACTTTATAAAATAATATATTTTATGGTTATTACATTATACTTTTAAGTTTTTTTTTTAAATTTTGACTTACTAGAGTTTAATTACTGGCAGATTGTATCACCGACAAGAACTACGGTCAAAACTAGAAATTTTATCGACACTCACAATGAAATGTTGGACCTTATCGAAATGTTTAACAGATGGACACATTGGTTGACAGATGCTGTACGTTTTGATTCTATTTTACTTCATTCTTTAATTTAATTTCTTACCGCATGTTTTGTTTAACAGATAAAAGAGACGGACATGCTACGACAATATAAGGATTCATCATCCGAGTAAGTTAAGAATTCAATATAAAAATTCCTTTATGAAATGTCACCTGCATTTGGATTAGAAATATTTAGTTTGTTAAAATATTGGACGCCAATTTAATTTGTAATTACTTTTGCTAGACGATGGCGAATACTGAAAGAGAGAGTTAAAGAACACTTGAAAGAGTGGGAGCAATGCAATGACCGTTTATGTAGTCCTTGGGAATCAAGATTTAAAAAACAGTTATCAGGTTAATTTTTTCCTGTTTTCTCTTTGTGTCAGTCCGTCAATATCCACCATGAGGAATGAACTGGACTAAAATATTTTTTAGGGCAATGAATATAATAACCAAAAGACGGATATAATAAAAAAACGGAATCTACGAGTACCTCATTCACCAGAAGAAACTAGGAAGTTTTCTGCACTTGACGTAGACCTGTGGGATTATTTCCAACCGTCACCCTCTCTGTCTCCACATGGGAACAGATGAGAATAAAAAGTTTCATCTGTTCCACCTTTTAGTCCCACTATCACCAATAGGTGACAGATGGAATCGTTAAGAAATAAAATAAGTTCCAACCGACCCTTCGTCGCAAAAGGTGGGAGGGATGAAACGTTTTATTGTCATCTGTTCCCACCTAGGGACATAGCGAGGTGACGGTTGTGAATAATCCCATCTGTGTGACTTAATAGGTTTTTTGTGTGTATTGCAGAGTGGGTGCCAGGCTGGCGACAGCCGGGGCCGGTGTGGGTGATCAGTGCGTGCGGGGCGGTGCCCGGCGGAGCGGTCTCCGCCGGGGTCTGCGACGGAGAGGACACATGGGTTGCACGCACCACGCATAAGTATTATTAGTACCTTATAGCTCTAAAACATATCCAGATTATAGATTAATCCAGAACAATATCCCCCAAATGGAAATAATCCTGGTGCTTTTTCCAGTTGTAAAATTCTGCCAGCAGCCCTTTGTCCTTCTATGCATTGTTGCGTTCTGTACTATGGAGGCCGGACATACCACTACACTAAATATCAGGTGAGAACATGTGCCAACACACACTACACAATGTAGTGACTTCGTGAGCGTAACAAGAGACAATTTTATTGTTATGACTAATCTACACAAGCAAAAGCTTGAAGTTACCATGGTAACATGGTAAGAAGCAAGGTTGCCGTAACCTTGCTTCTTTGCTGCTACAAAGAAGGTTATACTTATAAGTTATTAATAGCAATTACCTTGTAGTTTTAGTCCCTTCCTCGCTGAGCATTTTTTTCGAATTTACTCGCCCTTTAAGTTTAATAATGTTAAAATATAATGCCTAAAGTGACTTCTAAGTGTAGACGTTTTTATCAATAATAATTCAAAAGTATGTCGACATCCTGCATAACAAAGAAGTGTGTTTACACTTGTACATAAATGTCTTGTATATATACGTCTGCGTGGAATAAAAAAAAAAAATAAAAGTAAGTAACTTATGTATTCTTCCAGACTATCCTCTACATACATGCCAAATTTCATAGAGATCCGTTTAGCAGTTTAGGCTACAAACTTTAACAAACATCCATCTAAACTTTCGCATTTATGTATATTAGTATGATACATCTATCATGCAGCCATAATCATCAAACTCATCAGTTTACATATTTGCATGTGGTGTGCACGTGGTGAGCATGTGGTATGCATGTGGTGTGCAGGTGTTGTGCAACGCGGGCGTGGTGTGGCTGGCGTGGCGCGCGGGCGCGGTGGCGGAGCGCGCGGTGCGCGTGGGCGCGGTGTACGTGGGCCGCGTGCGGTACCGCGCCTCGTACTTGCTGGGGCCGGTGGCGCCGCCGCGCTACCGCTGCCATGTACTCATGTTCGGTCGCCCTGTCGCCTTTGATTGCTACGAACTGCTACTCATGGATGTCGCAACTTGAATAAATGATACAAGTTTGTCGGAAGAAAAATTGTCGTATGCTCTTGAATTTTTGGAGTAGTCTTTAAATACTTTGGTGTGCGAATTTGTATTTTGAGGTTGGATTTTTTTATTTGAATTGTATTTATTGTTAGATTTTAATTTTGGTATTGCGTCAAAAGTGTACGATTAGTGTTCCAGTAAAATTTTAATACTGTTAATTTTTTCAGAATTTTACGAACTTTGATAGAATTTTTATTGTTTCGACGTTTTATTTATTGGGATTTTTGCATGTTTATACATTTTGATGCTGTTGACATTTCTGTGACCTATTTATTTTTGAATAAAAAAATTGATAATTTCAAATGGGTTTCATTTTAAATTCCTTAATAAAAATCGTAATTTAAAAAAGCGTTTATTCAACTACAATCCACAATCTAGACATTCAAGCGGCACACTGTCAGTTTGTAGATATACTCTCTGCAGGGAGCCGGCGCTGGCGCAGAGGCGCACGGTGTCGCCGGTGGCGAAGGCGCGCGTGGCGTCTGTGGCGCCCACGATACACGGCAGTCCGTACTCACGAGCTATTACCGCGCCTAAACGTCACACAAACAAATATGAATTTAACATTGTTTATTTTTTATTTATTGGACCAAAACAAATTTGGAAAACAAAATAAAACTATTGAAAGCAATACCCACAGGGTTTTAGCATATCTAGTTGTCGCTTAGTTTTATTTCTATGCTTTACATAATAAAGCGTTAACATATACTACTTAGTTACGTACGATGCCATAATCACAGTATACTTCTTAATAACTATATTTTTAATAAAATACTCTACACTTACAATATGCGTTAGGCTTTATATTTACACGTTATTAATCTTAGGGAATAAATAAACTAGAAAAATCCTTTATGCGGGAAAGGGACAAAAACTACAATAATAAATCAACAATTTCTATCCAACGTTAAAGGCCTTCTTTCTCATTTATGCATTTGAATTTTGACAATTGAAGATTTGACAAATGTAAACAATAAAGTAAAGTAAAGCTGCATGGAAACAGCTCGTAAACAGATAAATTTGAAAATCTTACCATGGGATATAAGACCGCCAAGTTCTGTGACGATTCCGCTCAGCAGCGGGAAGTACGGCGACCAGCCGATGTCGGTGGAATGAGTTATCAATATATCTCCTGACTTTAACTCGCTAATCTAATAAGAAGTAATTAAATAAAATTGAAACACAACATGTCAAATACCTTTTATTATACTAGCGTTAGCCCACGACTTCGTCTGCGTGGAATTAAAAAAAATCAAAAGCAAGTACTCTATGTGTTCTTGAAGACTATGTTCTACATCTATGCCAAGATCGAGATCCAGTCGGCCTTTAAGTCTACAACCTCTAACAAACATCTATCCATCCAAACTTTCGCATTTTTTTAATTACTAAGATATATTTGCGAAATGTAGTCAATTTAATGTTTGCGATGTAATGGACCCTTAAATATAATACCTCTGATAGGTCCTTGACGACGCAGGCCCTGCCCACCACCTCCCCGCCGCAGACGGAGGTGGCGTGTATGATGACGTCACCGGCGGGCAGCGCGGGCGCCGCCGCCAGCGCCTCCACCCACCCAGTGTTCACCTCCGCGAACTTCAGCTTGCACCAGCTCGGGTACAGCTGTTGACGCTGTATAGCCCTGATTTTCAATAATTATATCAAAAAATGGAATCAACGTATTTCCTTTCATTACCCCTATATACTCGTAACGTTAAATTTTTAAACCAAAAAAAAAATGGCGCTCAGTTATTGGTATATATGTACTAGCTTTCGCCCGCGACTCTGTGTGCGTTGAATTAAAAAAAATGTAAGTAGCCTATGTGGACAAAGTCTGGAAACTATGATTCTACATTTGTGATAAATATCATATAGATCCTTTTAGCAAATTAGGCTACAAAATCTAAAAAATCATTATTAGTAAGATTAACAAAATTAGTATGTTTAGAAATAATGAATTAAAGTTTTAGTTTTTTAACCCATTTCATTCAAAGTTTAGTTAAAAATATAATACTAACTTCCTTAATATCGCTGGATTTCTCTTTTCTATATAAGCTTGGAGTTCATTGAGTCTAAAGAAGAATACGAGGTCAGGATGCGGCAGGTACCACTGGCGCACGAGCAGCTTCGCCAGGTTTAGTATGGAAATCCTCAGTTTATGTATCGCGAGGATGAGATGCGCCTTCGTCTGCTCGCGGTGACGAACTGAACGATGGCAAAGAGGAAGAACCCAACGTAATGCTTTCCTGTAAAAGTTAAATTACTTGGTTAGTTATTATCTGCGCATCCCTCGGGAACCTGACTTCAGGAATGTACCGTGTCCCATGTACTCCAGACTTGGTTTTATCTCTGTACTTTTCAATATGTTGAACCGTTGCAGAATTATAGAGTAAACAAAAAAAAATAAGTTCATTCATGGGAATATTTCTGGGATCAAAAGTAGCCTATAGGTTGTTCCAGACTATCCTTTACATGTATGCTAAATTTAATCCAAATCCGTTCAGCCGTTTATGTTACAAATTCTATCACACATGTGAACATTTAAATTTCGCAATTATGATATTAACTAGCTTTCGCCTGCGAGTCGATCTGCGTGAAATTAAAAAACAAAAGTGAGTAGCTAATGTGTTCTTCCAGACTATCCTCTATACCTTTACCAAATTTCATCGAAATCCGTTGAGGCTTTTGGATTTAAAAAACTAACAAACATCCATCCATCCAGCTAAACTTTCGCATTTATAATATTAGTTTTTAGTAAGATATTAACCTTTTTTTTTTGGTAACGGTGGGGGGGGGGGAATCTAGTAAGATATATACCTAGTGTTTGGTTTTTGAGGTGTCTTTAAAGATGCTATAATTTCTGCGTTACTTCTAGTTGTTTTATTCTCATCTTTCGTCGTCGGCATAGTTTGTAGTACTTTTATGAATTCCTCAGGTACTAGTGCCCATGGTTTTGTCGCTAAATCGAACTGGAAACATTGAAAATTCTAATTTAAACACCAAAAACACGAAACTGTTTTTTTGTTATTTAGTACTTGCTTAAATATTTCATTTTAATTAAAAGTAGCGCTAGGTGGTGAAGAAATAAAGAAGGAAAGAGAGATGATGATGATCATGATGACATAAACAAGTGTTAAGAGTAATTGTAGATGGCTACAAACCTTTGTAGCCAAACCCTCTACCTAGACGAAAACCAAAAGAATAGATAATAATATAAACTTATGAAAATATACGAAAAATATATACTTATGAAAGTAGTAAATTTAGATAGGTCGACTAACAAAGATGTATGGAAGGTTTAAATTCTTTAGAATGTCACCTCTTCTACTTACCTCCATAATAGCTCTGTGACCGTGTTGTTCTAGAAACTGGCAGATATCCATGTGTACGTGAGGTAGATTTCTTCTTAACCAGAGCATGGCGGCTGCGGGCTGCAGCGCGCGGAACTCCTCCACCTTGCCCGACTGCTCCAGCGTCCTGCTGATCTCTGCTAGAACGAGAGGCACCTCCGCTGACACCACGTCGCCGGAACTCAGCAGCACGCCGATCTCACTGCAGTGTTCTGGTGTGAAATCTACAAAAGATATTAAACAAACGGTATAGTTTTATGACACTTTTGAACGAGAACATTTTCAGTAATAAAAAGATTTATTTTTTACTAGGTGTTGCTCGCGACTTCGTCCGTAAAAGATTATAAAAATATAACCTATGTTAGTCATAGATAAATAACCTTTCTAACGGTGAAGGATTTTGTAATATCGGCACAATAGTTTTTGAGTTATTCTAATACATATATATAAAAAAATACAAGTCTTTCCTCTTTATGACAATAGTATAATTTATTTACTACAAAAAAATAAAGACGAATTGAGTCCTCCTTCTTTTGGTATGTTGGTCAACGAGTTAGTAAAATCATAGCTATTTCTCTAACGGTAAAATTAATTTTGAATTAAAACCAAACAAGCAATTCTTTTCAAATAAGAAAGAATTCGCTAAAAACCGATCGATGATATGCGGTAACATGCACAAATTGATAACCTCCTTTTAGTAAGTCGGTAAAAAAAACAAAAAACGCTTACAATTAAGAAATTGTTTTAAAATATCAAGTGACCTTCTTTCCCCTCCAGCAGGATGCTCATGGCGATGAACTGCGTGAAGGTGCTGGCGGAGCTGGTGCGGCTGTGGTTGGCGCTGAACCTCTCCATGCGCTGCGCCAGGCGCGCCCGCAGCCCGCGCACGTACTGCAGCGGCTCGCTCGTCTCCATCTCCAAGTTCAACTCATTCACTCGCTTGATTGTATCATTCATTGTTGATTTTGTAAAAAGTACCGACTGAAACAAAATTCAAACGTTTAATATGTAAAATTACACAATCTTTTTGTATCAAAAACTATCGCCCGCGACTCCGTCCGGTATTAAAAAAAATGGTGAAGCAGTCTTCTAGACTATATCTGTGCCAATTTTCATGGAGAGCCGTTTACCAGATTCTTTCTAAAAACATCCATCTAAACATTCATATTTATAATTTTAGTAAGATATATGTATATACTTATACTAAGTATATATAAATATGCGTACTTCATCGACTTCCATTCATTTTACTCTATAATATTATAGTTTAGTCTTCATCAACTTGCCCTTGTCCCTGCGGAAGGTGCAGTATGTGCTGCTTCCATACATTTCTATCAGTCGCCATATCTCAATGCACTCCTTTAAGCATATCTTCTTTCACATAATCCATCCATAGTTTTCGGCCTTCCTCTACCTTTAGCTATCCACATTCAATCTTAACACTTTCTGGTTTATTTTTTTTTATAACATAAGGTGGCAAACGAGCAAGCGGCCACCTCAATCCGAAGCGACCGCTGCCCATAGACATCCGCAATTGCAGATGCGTTGCCTACCCTTATCCGACGGAGGAGGAGACGCACATAAAGAGGACATTTCCCCTTCCTATACATATCCTCCACCGTCAAATCCACTTCCTCTTCCCAGCCTCCTCTTATAAGAAAAGGGTGGTAAAGAGAAAGGGACTAAAATTAGGCCTCCGGCACCACACTCATCAGACGAAACACGGAATTGCTTCCATTTCACGCCTGTCTTCTGTGTGGTCGTGGTATTACTGGGGGCGTGCCGGCCCATTCCTGCTAAGATGTTAAAGCGGGCACTACCACTGTAATTATGTCCCCATCATTGCATAATCATCATCGTGGTATGGATCCACGCTAACCTATAAATATCACATTATAGTTAAATCTTAAAGCACTAAATTGTTTGTAAACCTTAATCATGGAGGCCATAGTGAGTGCCCTGTCGAGTAGGCGCGGGCGGCGGCGGTGCAGCGCCGTGCTGAGCACGCGCTCGTCGGCCACCTTGTGCCCGTGCACCGCCATCTCCACCATACGGATACCGACGTCTATCTGAGGCGGCATGCGACGGTACACCGACTGGAATGTCATACCCACACATTCAAAGAGATATTACAAATTGAACTGTCATCGGCGTCACCAGAGGTAGGCAGCTAGAGAGGCAAAAATTTAAATTTATATTATTATAATAAAGCGTAAACACACACTTCTTTTTTGCCTACGATGTCAGCAATTACAGCATATTTTCGAATAACTCTTTTTTTTATAAAGAGCCCTACACTTACGTCACGCTTTAGGGTATATATTTTCACGCCGTTAAACTTAGGGGTAATTTTTTTGGATAAAAACCCTAATGTGGGAAAGAGACCATAAGTTGCTGCCAACATCAAGGAAGCAAGGTTGCCATGCTTTGTCATCATGTCATGTCATTTTGACATTTGCAAGTGATAATTTGACAAATGAGAACAATAAAATGAAATTTGTATACTATGCTGAAGTCGCATGGGAACAGTTAGTAAAACAATAAAGAAATGAATTCAAATGCTAAGGTTCCTGCAATAACAAGAGACCCGTTTTGATAACTCAAAAAGACATGTTAATTTTTCATCGAAACATTCTCATTGGAACCAAAGCTTACTTCTAGCCCTTAATTACTATATCCCCTTACATCATGGGCTGGCGACGCCTGTGGCTTCTGTGTTTGAAAACTTGGCAGTGTAAATATTCAACTTACGTTATAAAGAACGAGGGCACATCTGTTGTGTGTGAGGGCGACGCTGCGGTCGTAGTGGTCGCCATTGCATCCGATCACACTGTCGATGCCTCTCTGGAGAGGTGTTATCACTAAGTCGTAAGTCAAAGGTGTCAGAGGTTTTGGAAGTACCTGTAAAAATTCAATAAATTTTAACCTATTCTTTTTGGTTACTTGCTTATGTATTGTAAATGCAACAAACTGGATTAGTGCCTGTATATTTGGAAGAGAGGCTTAAAGTTCGTTAAATTTATTTGAAACTACCCTTCGCCCGTGACTCCGTCTGTTTGGCGTTAAAAAAACAAAAGTGAATAGTCTAAGTATTCTTCTAGACTATCCTCTAAATCCATGCCAAATCTCATCGAAATTCGTTCAGCAATTTGGGCAATAAATTATAACAAACACCTATCCATCTACACTTTTACATTTATAACATTAGTAAGATAAGAATACCTCTCCTGTGTTAGCGAATGTGAGCAGTTCATCATCAGACATGATGGGGAAATCCAACTCGTGTAAAAGTTCCTCCTCTGTCCAGCGCTCTAACGACGTGATAGGACGAGCTTGTAATAAATATATTTCACCCTAAAATAATAAAATAAAATATAAGTAAAAAAAAATCCTTCGATGCGAAAAACCTTCCGTTTTCAACATTTAAAAATACCAATTACAATATAAGTTTTCCAAAAACTTACATCGCAAATAGCCCATTCTATGTCCCTTCCCGCGCCCCAAAGTTCTTCTTGTGAAACTCCTATTTTTGCCAACTTTAATATCTCCGACACTGTGAGACATGGCATCTTCCTCTCTTCTTCGGAGACCAATTCTACAGTCACTCCATCGCCATCGGGTTTCACTCGTTCCTTCTTCGATCCGAGATCGATTTTAGCTATCCTAAGTCCATTTGGATCACGCTTTACTATTATCGAATCTGGTTCAACTGACCCGGAGACCACACTCTAAAAATAAAGCAGAAAAATCACAGAACATTCAACAAATACACTGTTGTCCTGATTTAGATATCTTTGTGAGATTTCATATCCAAAACCCTGCTTGAATAATCACAATTAGGTTATATTAGTCCTAACTTTAACGTAATTTACATAAAAAACTTTGTAATCGTAGTTTGTTTTTTCAAATAGAGAGCGAATTTCAAATGCTTAAAGACATGACTGCCAAGTCTCAGACGCAGATGTCAGAGAGAAGTTAATTAGTAAAGCCTACACGAGAAACAAGTTAGGAGAAGAGAGTTTTACCTAGGAAGGGGATATAGATTACCTCTCCAAGACCGTAGTTGGCAGTGATGAGGAGTGTGGAGGGGTCTCCGAGCGGGTGGCGTGTGAAGAGCACGCCGGCGACGCGCGCCCGCGCCAGCGCCTGCACCACCACGCCGCCGCCGCACGCGCACGGCTGCCCGTTTTGTCTGCACTTACCATATCGATGGGGAAAAAGCTTTTTGTTTTAAGCACCATTAGGTTAAATAATCAGGACAGCCATCTAAAGTTTTAATTTTTAGAAAAAACAAATTAAAAAACCTGAAAATATATAATACTAGAATTAAACAGCGTATTTCTCGGCTGACGCTGCTTAAACCATTAGAGGTATATAAAAATGTATGAAAGAATTGTAGATTTAAAAAAGTTCTACAAAAAAGTCCGTGATAGCATATATCATTAACGGTTTTCTTCATGATTTTTTTGATACAAAATTAGAAAACTCACAATAAAACAAAATTATGAATTATGGACTTGTACAAACAACGTTTACCTGCGATAGTATGCACTATTAAATGCGAACATGGAGGCCCAGCAGCGGCGCACGGCGCGCAGCACGCCGCCGCGCGCGCAGCCCAGCTCCGTCGCGTTCTGCCCCGCCGCGGACGTCGCCTCGCTGTCCTCGCACACACCTGCTCACATGGGAATCGTCAAAACTGACCATTGTCTAACCAAAATGTAAAAAAAACATACAGACGAATTGAGTACTTCCTTGGGAAATCGCTCAAAAATCGATATTGCCTTAATTTTAAAAAAGATAACTTTAAACTAAAAGAGCGGCACACACCATTAACTACACAAATGTTTTGTGGTTGTCAATTTTTCGCAGCCAATTCAAATGTTAAGCACAACTAAAAAGTAGTGTGCACCTCCATATAAGCTCAGAATCAAAGCGAGACTAAACGCACGCTCGAAGTAAAAGAGCTGAGAAAATTTTTAAAGTTTCCTACGTAGGTCACATGTCTACTAAATAAATACGTCGTTTTTTGAAAGAAACTCACCCGATGATCTGACGGCAAAGCGCTCTTCTGTACTAAAATTTTGCTCCTTAATCTTTATTCCCAAATCATTCAAGTACTTCAATACTTCTTCTTCGACGTCTTCTGATATTTCAGTTTTCATAAATAAATCTACGGCTCTGAAATTTTAAATGGGTATTTTTAAAAATTTACTAGTTATCTATCACCAATCTATAGGAAACATATTTATCTATACTTATATTGTAAGAGAAAATATTTGTATATTTGTATGCATTAAAATAACTCAAAAAATACTGGGCCGATTTCAAAAATTCTTTCATCATTAAAAAGCTACGTTATCAATGAGTAACAGAGGCTATGTTTATTACATTTATTTCCATATTTCACTTACATCTCACATTTCTGTTTGAATACACTTTCATCGTAATCTTCATTAGCAGCCTCTATCGCTTGTATCGCCTGAACTAACTCCGGGTACACTTCTAGTTGCCTTTCCAAAGCTTTTGTGGTCAAACAAAAACCGGGAGGCACTTTGTAACCCTGGAAATCACAACCCCTTATACCAACATCAAAAAGACCACAGTTATAGTTACCAATAGTCTTAATAACTCAAGTTATATTGTTTACTAGCTGTCGCCCGCGACTAAGTCTATGCAGAATTAAAAAAACAACTTAGTGACTTTTATGTTCTTCCAGATTATGTTCTACATTTGTACTACATTTTAGTGATATCCGTTCAGTTGTTTGGACTACAAGCCCTAACAAACATCCATCCATTTAAACTTTCGCATTTATAATAGTAAGAAGTAAGATCAGAAAGTTATAAAATATGTCAGGGTCATTGTTACCAAAAATATATCGTTTATGTATGACATTTACATAAGCAAAATCTAGAGATCTAGTATTCCTTTTAAAGTAATGATTTATTAAAACCATTCTACCTCATATAATGTTCGTAAGATTAAGTTTAAAGTGACATTGTACCTCGTCGTTCTGTACCGAAGCTAGCAGCGCGAGGGAGGCGCCCTTGCCGCCGACGTGCGCGGGGCTCGCCGCCGCCACCTCCTCCAAAGTCACACAGTACCCCACTGCACCGGCCTTGTCTTCACTTAACCATTTTAAAAGTGTCTGTGGTGCTTGTGGAAGGATTTGCGTTTTATCTGAAAATTGGAATGTAATCCGTAAAAAATTATACTTAGGGTTCGTCCCGCCACTGGCTGATAGAGGCTCAGATAGCTTAAAAATGACGTCACTGTCAGATAAGGGATACAAATCCAACACTTCCGTCGCGTATATTACACGTTCGATTGTTTTCAGACAATTTTTAATTTGGTGGGACAAGTCCTTAATATTATAAATGTGAAAGTTTAGATACATGGATCTTTAACTTATTAAAACTTTCGTGAGACATTATACTATATTATTTATTTATAACACGGCTAAAACTCACGTGGGAACTTTCGGTGTAACTTTCGGTGTGACCGTCGCGACGCGATAGCGAATAAAGCCGGCATCCACTCACCCTGAAGAAGGACCCCCTACGGGTTCGAAACTGGTCGGTGCCTACACCGAAAGTTCCCACGTGAGTTTTAGCCGTGTTATAAATAAATAACATGGATCTTTGTTTGTGGCCTAAATGGCTGAATGGATCTGAGTGAAATTTTGTATAGAACACATAGGCTACATACTTTGTTTGTTTTAATTCCACGCGGTCGGAGTCGCTGGCAAAAGCTATTTATTCTCATAGTTTTAATAGCTAAACATTTTGACGATTAAACTATTTTGTATTTATACTGCCGTAACTCATTTCGCAATATTGTCATCCTTTTTATTTTCTTTCAAAAAAAAGAGATAGCTAACGTTATAACATACCCGAAGATTCGTATGTCAACTCTAAGATACCAGTGCCATGTTCTCCATTTATTTCCACAGCTAGAGTTCGGTAGATAATGTCTTGTCTGAGTGGCGCACTGGAGATCGCTTTACTGTCGTCGTCGTTTATTCTTAATACCACTTTTAAACTGCGACCATTTGCTAGAAAATTATGAAACAAAGCTTAAATCACTCAGGGATAATATAGCAATCTGTAAGTGAAAGAATATTTCAAATCTGCCCAGTAGTTTTTGAGTTTACTCATAACAAACATTTCAAAAAATATTTCTTCCTTATATTGTATATGAGTCATAGATATAACGAGACTTCTAAATTGTAACTTACCTACACAAGTTATTGTGTAAGCTTTCGGTATTCCTTCAGGAGTTTCACAAAACTCTGACATAACGAGATCTGTGGCGGTCAAAGGTTTAATCGTGTAGTCAGGAAATCTCACGAAGCCAGAGATTAATCTGAAAAGACCATACATTACAACTATAACAATGTATTCCATATTTACTGACATCCTTAAAAATGAGAACTGCTAGGAATAAAGTACTCAACCTACTCATTAAAAATATTTTTATATGAAAGTCCTCTCAGCATAATAGCGGTGCCGTCCTTAGCGGCGGCGGTTAGTGTGAGTGTACGTCTAGGACAGGTGTCTCGTGACCAGCCTCTCTCGCGCACTCCCCGCAGCCGCAGCCGCTCCTTCCTCTGCAGGATGCCCTCCTCCTCGAACGTCTGCAGCGTGCCCTGCACCGCGCCAAACTGCAGCCAGCTGTTGTGCCCGAATTTACTTCTGCGGAGCAAGACATTTAATACAATACAAACATTCACAATCTTATTTATACTAACAGTGGTACAGCCCGCTTTATCTCTTCGCACGAATGAGTCGGCTCGCCTGGTGACATACCACGACCACACAAAAGAAACGCGTGAAGTGGGAGAAGGATGGGAAGGAAAAATGGATTTTACGTTGAAGGAGACTTATAGGAAAATATCATCTTTATGTGCGTCTCCTCCTTCGTTGTTTAAGGGTGGGCAACGCATCTGCAATTGCGGATGTCTATGGGTAGCGGTCACTTCATAATTTCGGCGGCTTCAGGTGGCCGCTTGCTCGTTTACCATCTTATATTATAATAAAAATACTAAGTGTAATTTGTGAAAATTTATTTATGTAAGTGCACTATAACTCGATCGCAATTGTAAATCTAACCGTAATAGTAACCCACTTTAGTAATCAACGAGACAACGGATGACGTTCAATGCCACATACAGTGTGACATATGGTAGTACTTTTATTTAGTTATACTATAGTGAGTGTAGTGTTTTATCATTTTTCTTAGTACATACAGTATTTGAGTCCAGGAGCCATCGCGCCAGGTGTCCAACGCCAGCGCGTGTGCTGCGAGCTGGTCGCTCCAGTCGGCAGGGTGCCGCACCACACTTGTTGCTGAACACCAACTGATGGAAGAGAACCAATTGTAACTGCGGCCGAAACCTTCTTAAAAGGCACTTAAAGAAGAGGAATAGAGTAGCATATCAATTGGTCTTCATCGGTTTAATCTATCTTTCGTCAATTCAGTCGTCTCCTTTCTTAAGTCTGTCACCATTCACGTAATGTATATGAAAAATATACCAACATAAGATTAATTCGCACATGCTGTGTAGTATTGTCGACGGAATTCGTTAGTAAGCCGTTGTACAAGATTCTCAGTCTTTGTTCAGGTTCAAGGATCTGTATTTTCAATCCCCCTGCGCTCCATCCGTCTTCTATACCTTCCCATGGAACTACTAATGTTTCAGAATAACCTAAAAAAATACATTTATTTCCTGTAAAATATTTCACCAATGTGTTTAATGATGACATAAAAACTACCTTACTTTAGTATGCTTTCTTCTTGTAATACTTACATGGCAATTTATATGAAGTACCATCAGCTAGTTTCACGTACAGAGTAACTTCCGCCATTGGCTTGCGACCGCATATTTTGCGTATACCAAACAGCACGGTAGCGCCATCTGGCGCAGACGCTCGTATTGAGATGCCGTCCCATCCTTCTGTCAGCCTTTCTTTACTCTTCTCAGACACCACGAACTTTGAAGGAAACCGTGATTTCCATCGCCTGACAGCGATACGTGCAAAGATATATTTTATTATGTAATTCCATTCTGTAAAAGAAATATCTCAGTATAGAACTCTAATTATATGAGCAAACATACTCTTTATTGGCGAAGGGAAAACACGAATATTTAGTGCAACTTGTCTGTCGTATTTCTCATAAATGCGGTCATGGTGTCGTATCGGAGTCGGTTTCAAAGAAATTCAATCGGTACATATCGGATTCCTAGCATAATCTAGACACAAAACTATACATAGATGTCGGTAATACTGCAATTCGAATATGAAAGGACAACGAGTGAAAGTCAGTCACCAGTAAAATATCAACTTTTAGCTTAGATTTACCGTGTCAAACAGTAGTACAAAAACATTTCATCTCGCTCATTCTCCCTAAAAAAATGAGATAACAATACCGCCCGTTTGTCGCCAACCCTACTTAGTAATTATTTACTGACATAAATATAAACCAATCCATTGTTACTGTGAAATCGCTGTGTTTATTCATTTATAAAGTTATTTATAATGCTTATCGAATACAATCAATGTAATTCAAATATTGATTATATGAATAAAGGAAGGACCTTGTCTACTAAATTGTTTAATTGATTAGTACAAGGAAGAATTAACTCATGTAGCACCCAAAAAGCCTAAAGCGGCTTAAAATATTTCCTGATTACATAATTTCTTAGTCAGATTTGTAATTAAAAAAACGCAAGCTATTCTTACGATTATGAATCTAATCTTATTAACATCTAGCACTCTTTGTCATTTTATATCCATAGAAAAATACATCAATACAATTGTTTCAAGGACATTTCAATATTCTAATTGATTTGCGTTCTCATAGAGCTGTAAAAAATAAGCCGCGAACACGCAAAATAAACATTATTTCAAAGACTAAAGAACCGGTTATAAATTTGCTATTGGATAAGAGATGTTAACACATATTAAACATAAATATATACGAAAAATGTAAACTAACCTTTATCTCTGTAAGGTCCAGTTTTCTTGGTGGGTCTCCTTAAAAATAATAAATATAAAACAAATGCGGATGTTATCAATCCTGTCTGGAGAAGGATATCATATAAATCCATATCAAAATTTGTTACTGACGTTACTCATATAATCTTTTGACAGATATTGTGGGTTTTTGTTATTGCAGACACTACCGTACGGTTTATGAATATCGTAAGGAATGAATCGGTGTCCGCGACTCGCTAATCAGTCATTTTTCGTATACTATCATTACCCACGATAAGCGTCCGGTTAACAACATATTCATTAAATAAAAATGTACAAAACATAATGAATAATCAGATAATGCAATCTAAAGGACAACAGATCATTCCTTTTAATCGTTTTAAATGCATATAATAATTTGTCATTGCAAAATAACTCGAACGTCTATGCAATAAGGTTCTGCTATAAAATGTCACGTGTTTTTTTTTCCTCCCCGTAAGTTTCCATTGTCGAAACACTTGTAAAAACATGATTTATTAAAAAAATAGAGACAACTATGACTCACAAACGTTATTCGAAATGATTAGGTGTAACATTTTATTTAACCAAAAATTATCAATAAAACAAACTACACGTTCAGACGATATTTTTTAATACTCTACCTGAATCAATTAATACGACTATTTATATATTTTAACCACAAGTTTTTTTGTGTCAAGTTATCGTAAAAACATTCTTTTAGGAAATTATCATGGTAAAAAACTTCTGTTTTAGTGTAAAATTTCATTTATTTTGTAACTAAGCAAAATAATCTTGTTTGCTTTTGCATTGGAATTTTTAAGCTTTACAGCCTGTCCAGAAATATGAAAATTCTCGCTGTCAAAATTATAGAACTAATTTCTTTGGGTACATTAAAAAGTGATGTATGAAGAAGCCGATTAAAATAATTAACCCTAGGGCAGAATTTTTATATTCTTGGTTAGGCTGTACTTATTTAAGATACCAAATATAATGTATTTAAACATATTAAATGTAATTAAACAGGAGGTTGGCAAGACATAAAAAAACCTTTTTAAACTAAATAATTTTCTAAATACTTCTAATTAATGAGTAATTTTACTACAAAATGTAACTACTTTAAACAATTTTGAGCAGTATTTGAATAAATGTGTTTTTTTTTTCAAGTTTTTATTTTTATTATTACAACTCCTTAAATATCAACCAGTCTTAGTCAATAGATAACCGAATCACGTTAAGTTTAAAATCTAGGAATGTTTTATTCCCTGTAATAGCCAGTGTTTTTAAATAAAAATAAATAAAGAAAAAAAAAATCAGATACAGATAAAAACGATTTTTTCATCTGTATCTGAATTTCGAATCGTAGACTATATCTGTTTAGCTTGAACTGCTTGATTTAACATCCAAACTCATAGTAATATAAAATGGAAAGACTTGAATTTTTGTATCTATTGAAATTATTTAAATCAATGAGTTACATTTAATAGTACATTTTTAAATTCCGGTCGGACCAAGTCGCAAGCAACAGCTAGTTGTATATGATAAATATTTTTATATAAACATTCAACACATAGCCATATAGATATACTAGTTCACAACTACTAATTGACTAAGCTAAAAAATAAATAATAAAAAAAAACAATCTATCATTAACTTAGATGTCATTACAGTATAAAAAAAAACAAAATAGTCAGAAAAAAAATAAGCCTAAAGGTAATAAGTTAATTGGACTCATTTAAACAGTGAAAATTCATTATTGTAAAAGAAATACTAATCAGCCACCTCTCGTATATTTTAATAAAATTAGGTTTTTTTAATTATTCACTATTGATGATAAAAACGCAAATTTGAAGAATATCTTTTGAGCTTAGTCTTAATCTAATGATACATAAAGTATCCGGTAGATGGCGCAGTTTTCAAAATTCCAAAAATAAAATCGTAAAATAGAATGTATTAAAATCAATTAATATTTATATTACTCTATACAAGTTACAGCTTCATATAGCACCAAGCCTCTTTGAAAATTAAAAAAAATGCGTTAATCTTCTTTCTGTTTGAGTGGTTCTTCGTCAGGGGTGTCAACCATACTGGTGGCGGTGTCGGTGCGCGACTTGTCCACTGGATACAGCCTGCACATGCACATTATTTAATACATAAACACTACATAAATCTATCTTTCGGGCGGTAAACCCAACAAGAAGAGCATCACATTATGTTTTTTTTTTTCAAATATCTTGATTCTATTTTATTCTGGTATTATTTCTGCACAACGACTTTACCTAGCCTGTTTGTAAAATATATTTTATCTAGTCTTTAAGGGGTGGAATCCCGTCATTCGACTATCGTAGACTATTTCCTAAAACAAGCTTTAACAAGAAATATTAGAAAATTTGTAATAATGTCATAAATACTGAATATGTATGGATATGGACATATCTTTAGAATGGCAGTACTCATCTGGCTAAAATTTGACACACATATACCATCGCTGGAAGAACACAGCCTACCAATTTTTTTTTAATTTCACGAGCGACAGTTATCATTTTACATAATAAAGGTCACAATAATGTAATCACCATCGCTGGTAGAGGTAGAGCAGGAAGACGAGGTCGTCCCGGAAGCAGGCGACGCGGTGCGCGGTGGGCATGGCGATGAGGAAGGCGAACACGTCGTCAATGAAGGTGTTGAAGGCCTTGTACATGAAGGCGCGCCACGGCAGCGCCGCCACCGAGCGCAGCCGGTAGTTCACGAACAGCTGCGGCAGCATCAGCAGGAACCCGAACGCGTACACGCCGTTCACCGCGCTGTGCAGCGCCCACGAGTACCAGCTGCCCACACACCGCCCGTTACATACATATCTCCTCCTTTCTCAGTTATCTCACTTGTCTCATTATCTGCCTTTATTTACTTTAGTTACATTGTTATAAAAAAATCGTCTCACAAAACCACACTAGTTTTGACTATAAAATCTAAAATAGTCTACATTTAGGGTGTTCTACCTAAGAAATGTTATTTTAAGTTTAAATTTGCCTTTTTTCTCCCTTATTTCTTGATTATCTCTCGTAAAATAGATATACGCTTAATATCAGTCCATCATTAGGTAGCCGGTACTTACTAACGGATTTTCATTGTATAGATTCAGTATGAAAAATCTATTCTAAAATCAATTTAGTATGATCTGGCATTTCCAGTGCCATCAGCTAAATCAAGTATTTGTGGTCCTGACAAGTTTACTTTCCTAGTAAAAATCGTAGTGGCATATTAATCTATAAAATAATAATTTGTTTACCTCTTGTGCGGTTCATAGACCAGCGAGTAGAGAGCTCCGGCGACGCAGAGCGGGTACAGCAGCATGGAGAGGTAGCGCATGGCCTCCGCGTCCGCGTGCGCCGTGCGCCGCTCCGCCGCGTCCGCGCCGCGCACGCGCACGTGCACCACCTTCGTCACCTTCCATAGCTGCACAAACATCATACAATTGACCACTTTGAAATAGCAATAATTTTCACCAAAATGATGCTATTCTGCAAGAAAATGAAGGTCCTAAGGCACCTCTAATACACAAATGCAGGAAAGTACTATTGAGGTACTCATATCTGACTGTTTCAAAGATGTCGTTTGAACGTTTTGTACGCAAAGACGACCCGAACGGGAACGAACCAATAGGACGCTTACAAGAACAAACATTGACTACACGGTTCATTTCATTACTATCCCGTAGTTTGTCTTGTACGTAACAAGGCAAGTTTTCTGAAACTGGAACACCGCGACTGTACATAAAAACATCATAATAGTGTTCCCTTTCCCTATCAAATTCACATCCTCTTGTCGTCGTTTTCTTATAAAAAGGTGGAAATGGAAGGACTAAAACTTCTAGCAAGAACATTGGAAGTAATAATACAACTATTATGATGACAATGACTTGAAAAATAACAGTAAACTCACCTCTATGACAGCACTAATGCCGGCAGGAATTAGCACCAAGAGTGAAGTCTGTTCATCCAGCAGATAGAAGAATATGACGAGCTGCGAGAAAGCGCGCCAAAGCACTGTGCGCGCTGACAGCCCCGCCAGCGACCGCGTGCCGCGCCAAAACGACACGTCGTTCTTGAACGCCAGGAAGTCAAACAACAACTGGAAAAAGATATTATACATAACATTCATACATATTCAATACAACCTCAATGATTTTTCAAATGTTTAAGGGGTCAATAAATTGAAAACATATGCAGGGAGAAACAAAACTACAAGCCAATAGTGGCAATGAAGTGAGATTTTCATAGTAAAAATCATTGTTAGCCATTTTTAAAATGTGCAATTGAAAGTTTTATAATTTCATGCAATAATTTAATACTAAAAATTTACTCACATGAAAACTAGATATTAACACAGTAGCTGATAACAAATACAGATTTGTATCTTCAAATATTCCTTTAACATCATCAACATCCTTTTCACCAAAACCGAGACTGTGCAATAATTCTAACGTCAAACGCACATGTATAGCCAATCTTAAAGTTCCATATGACGTTGGGTTTACAGTAACAGTTATGTTAACATCAGACATACTGTTATTTATTAATTTTAAATGTGACATTCTTGACTTTAACACATTATGCACGATAATAGGCAGGAATTTTCCATGACGAACTCTGAAAATAAAAAAAAATCATACATTGAATTAAAAGTATTTTAAAATGAAGACAAATTGTTTACATCTTACTAATATTATAAATGTGAAGGTTGAGATGAATTAAAAGATTTTTGTTAGAGTTTGTAGGCTAAACAGATTTTAATGCCATTTGGTATTGTTGTAGGGAATAGTCTGGAAGAATACATAGGCAACTTGCTTTTGTATTTTTAATTCCTAGAAAGAGAAAAATAAGCCTAGAAATTTTTAATTATATTAAATATTTTAACTAAGTAATACAAATACCGTAAATACTGCAGCAGTTCAGGCGGTATACTTGGAGGAAGTTTTATATTATCAGTAAGAACTGACAAAGGCACCAATGTACTTATATGCGAATATGGTTTTATACTTTTCTGAACAGGTTTATCTGAACCCTCCTGAAACATATACAATGATTATTTTATTTAAATTAAATAGTGTGTTTTACACTGAAATTAGGATCTAGAAAGCAATATTTATTATCAACTTAAAACTGTGGCTGCATCAGTACATAAAATTATTATTTAAAATATTCAATGGTCTTATGAATCATTCATAACTAATAAGTGAATAATAATCATATACTAACTTACATTTTGATTTAGTAAATTAAATGTTGCAGCCTGAGGTTCCACATAGGTAACTAACGGTAGGGTATGCATTGACTCAGTCTCATAGAGTTCCCGAAATTCTTTATATAAGCGGCTTTCGTCCAACAAAACTGCATGCATATACAATGTGCCATTATTTCGAGTTTTTCGAGGGATTTTAATATTCACATCTCTGCAATATATAATAAACAGTTATTTTATCTTCAGTTTTTTTTTTACGAAAATATTAAAAATTTGTGTCGAACTAACAGCGTTGTCGGTTTCCGATAGTCAATTTTTAAAGAAGTATGTACTTTCGATACAGATTCTGCTGCGGATCCATCAACTCGAGGAAACTGCTTTACAGATGTAAATAAAACAAGATGCTGCACGGGATCAGAAATCAAATATGATGAAAAACATCTCTCGCCACGAATGCACTCAGGTGGTATAAAAATTTCAGCTAAAGTCCATATTGTGTGAATTATATATATTGCTATAACTACAGAAAGAATGAAACTTAATGATAGAAATTGCATAATGAGATTTGAGGCATTCACGTAATTGTTTAAACTAAAATCGTTTTCAAAATCCAAAATTGAAACTGTGTGCTGCGTCGGTCTCGCTGACAGCTATCAAGTTAGCTAGTATGTTTTGACAGTGACATAACGTTTGACTCTTTGTTTTTGGTGTTTCCAGCCAAAAAGCAGCGCTATGGTTTGGTAGTGAAAATTACTGTTAAAGAACGAAAAGCATTTTTTTTAACGTTTATTTTTTTCTGTACTACTGCAATGTAGAAGTTGTGAATAAGGTTGTAATAAAATCATTTTTTTATTTTGATTACGATTTGGTTTTAAAGCAATTTAAAGGGCAATTTAACTCTCTGTTGATTTTTTTAAAGGCAACACAACCGATTATATGGAAGGTGTACATGGACGTAATAAATCGGTGTCACCTAGGAAATAATATTGATGTTTTATACCTTTAAAGTTATATTGCAGGTATATTTCTTTCTTAAATGTGCTAGGAATGTAAAGTATTGATTAAATTGTTCTAAAAGTTTACAGTGCATGTGGCAGTGTGTTTTGACAGATGACATAGGTGTTGATATTTTGTTTATATTTCAGGATGATCCATAATTTTGTTGTGAGTTTGAGGTAAATGGATAACTTATCCATTAAATGATCAAAAAATGACCAAAAGTCAACACTTAATACACCCGTGTATCGGTTGTCATGAACGCTAAAGATTTGAGAACCGATTCTGCTCTGGGTGGACATATCAACGATGGCAGCACAAAGTACGCCCAGAGCGGCAATCCCCTACAAAATAACTCCAAACCATATCAAGATATTGGTGCTAATCCTTTGGCTAAAGTGGATGTACAGACCTCGCGGCCGTGTGCGATCATCGGACCCGATCGAATATTGCCGTCTCCAAACTGCAACGACGGTTTTGCGAAGAAAATATTATCTGACTCTTGGCCATGCTCAGACAATATATATCGGCAACCTCCAGACTATCCTCATAAGATGTCGGAATATCAGCCGCCAAGAAACATATCTCCTAGACAAACATTCCAAGAAAACATGCAAAGAATAATGGTGACACCTTACAATACATCAAAAAAAGTTGATGAATCAAACTACCCTGCAGACAGAAATGCTACTATGCTAAAAAATATTAAAGTGAATTTGCCTTCAGAACCAAAGTATTGTGATGTGCCTTATACAATTGGTCCAGCTTGCAATGAGCAAAAAAACTTAAGAGTTACAGAAATTCCTGTGGCTAATTTAAATCCTGGAGTTCCTCGAAATGGCCCTCATGGATGGCCAACTAATAATGTTAATGTCAGACCACTAAGACCTTATGGTGCTCCTGAACTCTACCAGTATTCTGATTATCCCAGTTGTGCTGGTCCAAGACCAATGCCAATTATAAGACCTCATCGAACAGTTCAAGAGGACCACAGCCGTCTGTATCCAGAACAGTATTACCAAGATCCTAATGTTCGATTTAGGCCATATCCAACAAAGGGGAGGTACCCGCCTGGCAGGTATGATTATATTAGTAATTATCCAAATTCATTCCATGCACCATTCCCACCTCATGCCTTTGATCCACAAAAATCTGCCCCACCACATTCTTATCCTCTCTATCCACAAGTTCCAATTAAATATATTGACAGAAGGATGGGGGAACCAATAATGGATGCATATCAAAGGCCTAGTCCTCAAGCAAATTTGAATGTTGCATACCGTAACCAAATAATTCACCCTCCTTATGGGCCACTGCAACCAAATTGTATACAAAATAATATGTTCCCTTATCCCTCTGATAGTTCCAAATCAGTGATACCAAACAAATTACCTTACACTAACAACAATAAGATATATCTTGATTATGAAGCATCACAGAGTAAAAAAATCTCAGTTTCTGATAGTATGTACTCAAATGATGCTAATCATACAAAAACTATGAATGGTGAAATTGTTTACCCTAATTATCCGCCTGTTAATATGCATGGAATTTCTCAGCTACCACTTTATCGAAAGGAAAATGTTCCTATGAAAAATTTTGATTATGTACCTCATTTAAGAAATTTGGACCCTTCAGTTAATTTTCATAGCCCATTATTGAGACATCCTTTACATTTCTCTCCAACTGCTGTTGCAATTTCTCCATCTGATTCAAATACTAGCAATGATACAGCCCAGACACATACAACTCAAGAAGATTGTGGTTATGTAAGTCAATCATCAACTGCAAGTGTAAGAAGCTTAGACTCACATATCAATGGCTTTCCAAATGATCATCACACTTACAGACCACCTGATTATAGATATGGATATTTACCTAGAAATGTCACAGCTCAAGTTCCTAATAGTAGTAAAAGTTCTAAAGTAAAAAAAGACTTGAATGTAAGACAATTTTTACAAATGTGGAATGAAGGGGATGATGAAACCAATGAACAGACCAAGGAAGAAACACTTTCAAAAGGTAGAGATGATTTAAAAAACTTACAGAATCAGCATGAAAGTGCAAATAAACAGGAACAGCTTTATGTTTTGGGATTGGTAAATGTACCAAGTGAAGAACTAGCTAAATATGACCATATACAAAAAATATCGAAATTACCTGAAAATATCAAAGGTTATAATAACATTGAGTTACTTAACCAATTCGAAGAAGCTATTGAATCTACAAATATGAGACCATTCAATATGAAACAACAAAAGGAGTATAATGCTCCTTTAAAAAGTACTATGACGAAACTACCAATGAATGCTATACCCCGACCAGTATCACCTCTAGATGTTGAAGCGAAAATAAGCCAGTCAGTTATTCATAAAGAAGTAGGATGTAACTTTGAAATAAAGCTTTGCAGCCCGAAAATGTTAAATGCTGAAAATGCTACTCCCATTCAAAACATATTAGATGAAAGAATAATAGAAAAAGTATCCAATCCTATTGCTTCAAAACCAATACTCTTAAATAAAACTGATAAAAGTAATATTGACCGAAGTTTTGCAAATGCACAAAGTCTAAATCTTGAAAATGCTTCAAGAGATATTACAAGTTGTTCTATGGATAATTTACAGTTCAGAAATGATAATTCCTTAGATCCTGACAAACCAAATTATAATTTACAATATTTGGAATACTCAAGTGTATGTTTAGCATCTTTACCTCGACTAGATAATGATATTGAATTAAATTTTCCCGAAATTAATCAGCAGTTTATAAATGCTAATAATATGGAATCAGTGAATTCGCCTACACCTGTTAAAGACTTACCTATATTGGATTCTGAACAGAAAGACAAAGGCAGCACTTTGAATAAAATTGAAAACTCAAATAAATTATCGCTCTTTTCTCCAAAAGCAGAAGTTGAAAACAATGTTTCAAAACTAAGCAAATATCGCAAATTCAGGAAAAGTGACATAGAATCTAAAGAAAGCCAATTAAGTCCCGTAACTAAACCACAATTCAGGACGGACAGTGTTATTATAAAAAATCCGGATATGAATAAAAATAATGAAAACGAGTGTAATATTATTCGTGATTGTAATGCCGATAACGAGCACGTTACCAAAAAGCAAGAGTTGGTAACGGACGATAGTATTACGTCGCCTCATACTCTGCAAGACGATGAAAGTATGAAATTTCTAAATCAAAGTAATTTTGATCAGGAAGATTGTAATGTCTTGCCAAAGATAAATAATGATCTGGAAGAGTCTAGTTTGTCTTCAGATATTGCAATTGACTTTAGCCTAAATAGAAGCAATATAGAATCAACGAGGGATAGTTCTCTAAAGGATAATATTAATGAGTCGTTGTTAAATTTAATTGATGACGAGATCAATATTTCTGAAGCATTCGATAAAGCTGAATTGTCTACAAACAGTAGCATCAACATACCAAATGAAGATGAGAGTTCGAATCATAGTGAAGAAAAAACAAATTTACAATTACTGAAGGACCTTGGAGAAGAAGAGTTTTCCGATAAAATATTACCATCACAATCTAATGTTACAGAAATGGAAGATGAAAAATGTCTTGAAACTGAAAATGACATAATGTTTAATTCAGAAAATACAAATTTAAGTATATCAACTAATACAGTTGATACAATTATTGATAAAAATGAAAATAAAAATGAGGATGTTTTATCAGAAGAATGCAATATCCAAGATTTTATTTCTAATAAGGATTCTGAAAATATTACTCATGTAAGTTCACAACCTGAAGAATCAAATTGTATTGATGAAAATGAAAATTCTGATCTTGCAAAAGAAAGTTATTCAAACATAGATAACGACTTTGAAAGTAAAATTTTTTACCATGGTATGTCTGAAAAAGAACAAGACGTACAAGAAGATGACAGTAATTTGATGATGTCAAATAAAATAATCGCGTCAGAAGTCGATTTCAGTAATAATAGTGAAACTTCCGAGGTCCAGTTGAATGTACCTCCAAACACTTCAGAGGAACCTACACTTTTAACCGATTTAATGTCGTCGGACGTAAAAAGTAATAAAAACGAAAACACTAAATGTAGTGAAGCTCTTGAAGTATCCACGCCAGTTTCGAATAGAGATGTTTACTTTAACAAACGGTTATATTCGAGAATAATTCAAAACCTTATAATACGTAATGAGGAGGCAGTATTAAAAGAAAATAAATCATTACATGAATCAAAAATAAGTCTTACCTATGAAGATAACGTTATCGATACTCATAGTTGCTCTAACAATCCTATAAATGACGATTATACAAACAATTCAACATTGCCTATCTCTGAAAAATTAGAAGTTTCAGAACATTCTGAGTGCACAGATCCCAATCATACTGAAGATATCTCAGTACATAAAAATGATACGAATGCTTTCACTGCTACACTGGAAATAGACAATACTATTTCTAATAATGATAAAATAGGTTATAGGGATATTGATGATGATCATATTATATCTGAATGTGAAGATGGAGCTATAATAAAAGAAACATTGATTAGCCCAGAACATGTTGATAGTTCTGTGGTAGATTGTGAGGCAGAAAATTTTACTAATGATTGTGTTTTAAGCAAAGAAAACAGTGAAACTGTAAACGCCGAATCGACCGAGGAAAGTTTTGATAAAACGGAAGAAAAACAATCATCCTGTAACGTTGAAGAAGAAGCTATAATTAAATCTGATGTAAGCATCGACCGTCGTTTGCGTTTAAAACGGTCTTTGTCTGATTCTGCTTTAAATACGTATACCAACGAAGACATTAAACCAATGAACACTGAAAACATGTATACGATTCCAAGAAAACGTAAAAAGATTAATCCTTGTGAAATGATGGAACCACATTTAATTGCCCAAAACTTATGCGAAATTATTCAAACGAATCGTCGTAATTCCATCTCCACTCTATATGACGAGGAAAATGTATCCTTTTGTATCCTAATCGATAATTCATGTGTTATAACAGAAGATACAGAAGAAGAACAAAAAATTTGCTTGGCTGAAATATCTGAAGATGTCTATGAAAACGAATTGAAAAACGACTCTACATTTGAAACAGAGAGTATTATATTTACAAATGAAATACCTAATATTGAAACATGTTCTGTGAGTGAAGTTATTGATACAGATACTAAAATTGATACAGACAGTGAATCAATCGATGATGTAAATGATTTTGTTCAGGAAAACATCGAGCAACACACAGAAAGTAAAACTGTTGGTGAAGACTCCTGGATTGAAGACGTTGCATGTGTAGAGACCGTATTTAGTGATAACATAGCTGAAGATGTAGTTCTTGATGCGCCATATTCGCCAAGTGACAGTGTATTAGACTTTGATATCGAAGAGAAAAATGAATCCCTAATTTACAATGACAATGAGAATATAGAAAAAATAAAATACATTTATGGCAGTGAAATGTGTACCGATGATGCAGAACTTGTAGAGACTTTGTACAGAACTCCGCAAATGGACGTGACAAAAACTCTTATTCGTAGAGAATCTCAGTATTCAGATGAAAGCAATCGATATTACGATAACGATTCATTGGAAAAAGTTTTGTCGGAATCAAACGATAGTCCATATGCATCTGACATAAAGTGTAACAGAATTAAGAATATCTCGCCTAATATATCAAAGTCAGCAACAGAACAATATGATAAAGAAAGGATAAATTCCAAATCACCACCAGGGAATGTTGTGAATAATAAAAGCGACTTCACTGATTCAGACTTCGAAGATAATCTACATAAGTCGTTGGAAAACACCATATACCAACCAACGCAATATGATATAGTACATTCATGTGAATCGACTTGCGACAGTGCGATAACTTACCACCATAAAGATGAAAGCCCGCGATATTCGAGCTCGCCCGAAGTGTCCTCCACCACGTCTGAAGAGAAAAGCTGTGGCATTCTATTAAAAATAACAAAGTGTAATGGATCCATATCATCTCAAATAAACGATTTTAATACAAAAAGTACAAGTAAAATAAGTAAATTGTCTGAAAATAATGAACTAGTAAATTATCATAGAACAAGACCACTTCTAACAAAAGCCGCACAAAAGTACATTCCCCCTTTGAAAGAAACTATACGCCACTTAAAGGTTAAACTTCCTTTGCCACAAAACAGTCTCAATAAATTAAAACTTTTAAAAATAGCTAAAGATAAACCAAAGTCAGAGGAACGTCATAACAAAAGTAATGATTTGTTTAAACACAATTATCCAAAGAAGAATAAACCAAAGTTTGAAGATGTCCTTAAAAGCATAGATGAGATCCAAATAAAAAGGCATAAAGAAAAAAATAAGAGACACAAACACTCTATTCCTAAAGTAGTTATTAAGAAAAATGAAAACGGTGCTCATTACGCGAGCACATCGAGCGATAGGGACGCGTACAATCCAGACTTGACGGGAAGAAAATGGCAACCATGGGTATTTATAGAAAAAAACTATTTTGTCGACAAAATGGCTTTAAATAACAAAGCAAAGGCCATATATAGTTATAGAAAAAATACTTATGTGTTAGCTGAGAAATTTAAGAAATACAAATCTGTTAATAATGCAAAGTTCATTATAACACCACCAAAGTTGGAAGACATATCTTCTGGTAAATTAAAATATACAATACGTTTAAATCATAATTACTAAGGTAATTTGTATGCGTTATATTTAGGTTTTTCTTGTGTATAGTAATGGTTAATCCATTTAATATCCCACCACATGAAGATGGTTTACATTCCTTCTATTTATTTATCCCATAGTTACCCAATTTATTTATCAACTTAATAGATGATAGCATTGAAGCCAAAATTTAATTGTGATTAATTACAAAGATATATTTAGCTACTTTATTTGTAGTGCAATTTGATCAGATCTGTATTTTGTTATGTTATTTCAAATTTTATATATAGTTTTTCTGCTATAATCATTCCATAAGTTATTGTTTTTATAAAATTGTGTCCAAAAAAAAACTTTGTATGTAAATATTGCTATTATATTTCAGTAAACTTTATAATACAAATATCTGTTGGTATTTGGTATAATAGATTTGTTATTAATATATCATTATTGTAAATACTGTTAGGAGATATTAGAGTGATATTTATATTGAAGCACTTTTACAATTGATAGAAAGTTTATTTTTTAAGAATTAAGACACCCGCGGGATCACCATAGATTTTTGAATATAAGATAATATTGGTATGTTAAGCATCATATAAAGGTTTTTCTATAATTCATGAAAAACTGTTTTGTTATTACCTGAGAGAAATTGTTATTATGATCGTAACATTACGGTCAAATATTGCTCACATAAGTTTAAGCACACTAATTATAAGTGAAGGATATACTATTAATATAGTATAAAAGTACAAAGAGTGCACTATATTTATTGTAAAGTAATGCTTATTGAATACGATATATTTATACAAATTTTATAATGTCACTATTTAATGGCATTATAATCAGGCTATGTTGTTAGAAAATATTAACAATACTCACACATGGCTAAAAAGCTATGTAATTCCACTGGCTTCTGCCAATTTTCCTTTTTCAATACGCAAATGAAATATGTAACGTGTTTCTAAAACTCAGTGCCTCAAATTAAGTGTCTCACTTTGTCCACTTTTATCTGTTTTAGGATATTACCAAAGCACTAATATAACGTCCTAAAATATATCCATGTGCAGTTAAATGTACAGCATATAGTGCCTTTAAACGTAAAGTTTCTAACCATTGTTATGCAAGAATGTTATTGTAAATCTGATCATTTTAATTATGAACTATTGTATGCTTTTTGTAAGATAGAATATATTTATTATTGTTCCTAAATGTAAAATGTCCAAAAAAGGCTTTGGCAATGTTAACCCTTTTACTCGTACACGGTTGATGTTTATGGTTAAAAAATTGTGCAGTCGTAACTAAAAGTAATGCGTAGCATTTTACTATTTGCTACAAACTGTTTAAGTTACGCATTTACTAGTGTGTGTTGCGATATTTTCGTGGTAATAGTAGTTAACAAGTTTCCGCGGATTATTTTGCTATTGATGTGGGCACGGTGTGGCAACCCGTCGTTTCAATTTGTACGGTTTTGGGACGGTCATGCCACACTTAACTTGTGTTAAATCGCTACAGCCGAAACCATGTACGTGTGAAAAGGCTTTAACGGAGCGAGTAAAAAATTAGTGTCGGAAGATGCGCGTAATTTTAACATGTATTTTATGCGTATACACCATGCAAAAATTCACTATGTTTTTGTAATACATTTAGCAACGGTCCAGAGAAATGTATTGTTTCTAAAGCATATTATGATCTCACTTAGGCAAATCCCGTTTTAGCCTTCTGCGTGTTAACGCCTATACATGTTTCTATGGATACACTATTTTTATACTGTATACAGGGTGTTGAATAAATATACCAAAAATGTGCTTTTATCTTTTAGCAAGTGTTGCCTTCGTAGATAGTTGTTAAGCATAGTTAATTTACAATATGTGTATTAACTTTAATTGTATATTATGTAAGTGTGAGTGGTTATAGGACTGTCTATTTATCAAAGATAATCTATATGTTAAGGGGATTAAGTTAATTAAGTATAAGTTTATTAGAATTTTTAAATATTTAACGGTATGGTTTTACCTTGCTCATTGTAGGAGCCAATCTTTTATTGTGTACTGTATAGTTAGGTTGTGTTGTGAATTTTGCGAAGTTGGCCACATTGGCATGTTTATAGGTTAAAGCCAAAAATTACGGCTCAAAATAACTCATGTATATCACAATAACAACTAACACCCGTGAAATAAAAATAATAAATTTTACATGCCATACCTGGGAGGCTCAATTTTATGAGTTTTTGGATTTCGAAATGTTGTAACATGTTAATTTCGTCATTGTGTTTTTGAATTCGATGTATGTTTGTTACGCACTGTTGACTGGATTGTTAAGTTTATTTTTTGCACATCGTTGGCCATTCTTATAAGATAATTAATAATATTTTACTGTGGTTAAAAGCACTGTTTAGTTAATGGTAAAGGAATAATATTTATAGTCGTAATATTTGTTTTGTCGTTTAACGTTAATGCATATCTTTATGCCAGTAACGCACGTGATAGTGTTTCGTGATAGACGTTATGTGTTAACTCGAACCACGCACTCGCTCCGAACGTTCGGTAGCCACTTCGTGTGTGTTCGTGTGCGTGGATATCAAAAATATTTTAAATGGGTATATTGTTTTTTGAGTGGTAACTAGTTTTGAGAAATGTTCTGAAATTGACCAAATAAATGTGTTCCAAATAAAAATGCATTGTTTATTCAATTGGTTTATTGAATTCCGTTACACAGGTATGTTGACCTTGACAGCCTCTTGTCGGATAGCACTGATCAGGTCCTGGTTGACGAGGAACACGAACCGGAGACCGGCGATCTGTTGGCAAAGTTGCGATAGAGAAATAAGTAAGTTATAAAAAGAATAATAGTATTCATGGTGGAATTTAGAACAGTGCGCGGTTAATAAGGACAGAGGGAATCGATTTACTTCATCGTACATAAACATTACCAAATATCTGATTCGTTAGAGACCGAGCACCGAATATGTAGTATTTCTGATATTACAAATGGTCACGGGTGGCTAAACTGTTCATTGTAAAACACAAAGACCTTATCGACTAAGCGATTGGCCGCGCGCTACTGCTCCCAGAAGTAGCAGGCCAATCGTACAGTGGAAACAGGGTTATAGAACTACTTACCTCTATAACGCTGTTGTGATTGAGCTTCACCTTGTTGCCTTGAAGGACGGGGCGGCCGTCAACGAATATCGGTCGCTTGCCTTCTGATGACATAAAGAAGTCCCCACTGTTGCGGAGGCGGATCGTTGCCTGTTTCCTCGACACCTTCGCTGCAGGACCTTCCAGCGTCAGGTCCACATCGATGGTGTGATCTCGTGTGCTGCGACCGACCGCAATCTAAATAAAAAATAACATGTTATTAATGACATTAATTAAGAGCCGTACTAATTAACTTGTTAAACAAAAAAGTTTTGGTTATTCAATTTGAATTTTAAGTCTCGAATTAAAAAAAAAACTTTTTTAATTCAAAACACAAAACTAGAAAAACCTAACAGAGCAAGTATACCTACTCACTGTAAAGTTATCAATAAAATTTTAATCATCATGTACGGTAATTATATAAAACTGTACATGTACGTTGTTATATGCCACGATCGCTATTAAATTAATTATTAAGTTAAAACACACGACATTTAATAACTTTAGGTGCTATAAGATAAGTAAAATTCATTTATATAAATACTACATATTTACCGAAAAGTTTTCCTTTTAGATACAAATGTAAATGTATATAATTACAATAATTTATTTAAAGCAATAAGGTCGTTACACTAGTTTGCAATGTGTAGTTTGCATAGCTAAAGTGATGTGTAAAGGTTTACGACGATCAATTGAAAATTATACAGCAAAATACATCATTCAAGTCATTTTTTTGGGTGAAACATGTATATTTTAATTTAATATGGAACTAAAAAAAACAAAATAAATAGCCTATGTGTTTTTCCAAACAATGTCTACTTCTATGGCAAATATCATCGAGATTCATTCAGCAGTTTAGGTCAAAAACTAACAAACATCCATCCATATCATACTGGATTTGATTTGTATTTTCAGTAAAAATTATATCACCTATCACTTACCATTTTACCATCAAAGTATAAGGTTCATAATCTAAAAATTAATAATTTATTTTTATACCATAGAATATTACCACTTTTCACTGAAGCTAATTTTTCAAATAATTTTAAAAGTTGACTATAAAACCAAGAAAATGAATAAGAATGGTAACGAGCCATATCCAGCGAGACAATACAGAATTTAAAAAAAACAATCGTTCTATAAAAAATAATTTACTCAAAATACCATTGTACCTTTAATGTTTATGAAATAATAAATAAATATAAAACGATGAATAACTTCTATAATTATTTCCACGTAGGTTATTCAACATTTGAATAAGAATTTTCTTTGCGACTGTACTCGTGTGGGCTAGTATTGTGTCATAACAAGATATGTAACGTTATGTGAAGATACGTATTGTTTACTTGTTAATTTCACAGATAAGCTATCAGCGTATCTCGCAATGGACAGACACGATTGCCTGAGCGCCGATCGACCGTCACAATATTTAGTACCCAACTGACTACTATACAAAATTCAATAGTGAAAAATATTGTAATTTGTTCCGCATTTATTTTTATGTATATTTAAATAAACGTACCAAGAATGAGGTGAGCCATTCCGGGGATACAGAATTTACTACTCGTCTTTTGTTTTTGTTCGAAATTTATTAAATACAAAACAGAAGCTGTCCGTGATAATTTTTAGTAGTAAGTGATAACAGCTTATCTTTTATTTTTCTTTTTGAGTTTAAACAGGTGATTCGGATCAGCATGAGTATCAAAAGCTGATTGCAAGTCTGCTAAGAAAATACAAACTTCACTTTAAGTTTTCTATTATGTAAGGTTTATGTCACTTTTTAACTGTAAAGGTGCTCTACTAATATAAATGACGAAAGGTTTGAGGAAAATCATTTTATGCTACTTCTACTTCTAACCATTAAGCCTAGCCTTCATTAGATGACTTTTACCAAACCGACCGAAATGCTGACTAAAATTGTGAGTTGTTTTCTTGCTATTAACATAACGATTACATGCTCGTGAACAACAATATAATTCGAAATTGCCAATAAAATAATAACTTTGTATAAAAAAGATAATCTTTTAGTGCCTTTTTCTTATCTCATCCATGAAATTGGTTGATAAAAACTCTGAAAAGAAAGCGAATTTGCTATAAAATGCTTGTCAAACAGTAATAATCAGTTTTAATATATTAATAGGTAACTAGCTCTCGCCCGGGACTCAAAAAAAATAAAAGTAAATAGCCTATGTGTTCTTCCAGGATATCCCCTACTTATTTGCCAAATTTCATAGGGATCCATTCAACAGTTTAAGCTACAAACTCTAACAAACATTCATCCATCTAAACTTTCGCATTTATAATTTAGTAAGATATGGTAATCACTTTTAATATATTGGGTACGTAATATATTTATAGGTAATGTGGCAAACTCGGTATCAAATAACGTGCGATAATGTAAAACAAAGCAATTAATATCGTACAAATGAACACAATGCATGTCGAATTGTTTTGTTCGATACGTATTCGGCGGCGCGCGTTCCGGCGCGGTGCAGCTGGTGACAACGCGCTTATCATGTCTTGCAACGAACGCAAAACTTATCAAAAAGGTATATGTATTTTGCACATACTTTACACACCATCATAATTACTGTAACATGAAAATTTTATTGCATATATGTATACTTTTGCGCAGTGGAAATTTAACATCGACATTACATATTTTTCTATCGACATTAATTAGTCCAGCACTTCTCGTCTTATCCTTAAATAGACGTTTCTTCTTATAAATTATATTTACTTGGAATTAAATATTAAAGTATGGCAACATCTATATCTGCAAACTGTAATTCTAAAGTTACTTTGTGTTAAAGGTATTAGAAGTTGACCAAAAATTTAAATAATCAGTTATTTGAGGTAAAGAAATTTATAATAAATACATTGTACCTATTACATAATTGTTAGTTACAAAATAATATCAATTATTGTCTGGTATACCGTACTATTATTAAAGAATAGAAACTGAATTAAACAGAGCTATCGTGTGTCTAAACCTCGCGGTAATACGTCATAATGTAACACTTCCTTTTCAAATTAACTTGGAAAAAAATTAATTTTCATAAAACCTCGTTTTTCGTTTCCTTTTCGCGTTCGACTTTAAATTCAGCTGTTGATTGTGTTGTGAAAATTAAATTCACTTTAACTCATATATTTATTGAATTAAAATTTTAATGTTGATTTTTATAAATTTTTACTCACATTGTCATAGGTTTGTTTTTAACCTCACAAAAATAATGTGAGAAATTAACTTTATTTTTGTTGTATTTTATTATATTAACATGTTTGTGTATAAGCGTATTGTAAGTGGAAAATTACTGTTTACTTACGATTATTTCGATATCGCCAAAAGATATTACAATTATTTTAACTAAACCCTAGGACCACAAGCTAAAGTCTTAGCACAAACAAATTGAACAGAGAGAAAAAAACTAAGAACAAACTTATATCAGTGAAGTCCTTGAAGTTAATAAGAACAAGTAAAATAAACTAGTTTAATATGTAAATGGTATTTTTTTTTCTATGTTACACTTTTCAAGTCTACAGTAACAATATGGCACCGAGTTAACCGATGATAACACAAGTAAACTAACACCAATATTTAAACAAGTGATGGCAATAAACTATTAGTCATTTGTTTATTTTCATTAACAATATCTTTAAGTGTAAGTGCAAATAAATTGTTTTATCGTACTCAATGTTTAAAGACAACACGGTTCATACTAAACAGTCAAATAAAGCAGAGATAAAATGGCAGTGCCAGCGTTAGAGTAGGACGCGGTATGTCGACTGCCCAGGGCGTTGGACAGAAAGGTCTGCCTTAAATTTACCAATTCAACAGTCTCACATTAAATTGTCTTCCCCTTTCCAAGGTAAACGGGGCATGGAAATATCGCCCAGGGCGCTAGTAACGCTAAAACTAATAGTAATTTGTGAAGTTTTAACAATCAATAACTACTTCGGCTTACTGGTAAATTATAGACATCACTAACAATGTTGTTTATTCAATCTTTATATAGCGTAGAACTTTTGTGGACATTGAAATATTACTTGTCAGTCATTATTTACTTGATTAAAAGTCAACTGGTTCTTAGGTCGACCAGGCTCGATTTGCTATAGTGTTTATAGTAATTATTCAAAATCAATTAACATAAATGGTACTAATTACACCCATTATGTAAACGACAAGGTTTATTGATAACAGGAACACATACTCTATTTGTTTGCTGAATAAAACTTCTAAAAAGTACATTATTGCATACTGAAATTGCTGTAAAACTCACACATGTAAATGTTCATTTAATTTTAGTAATCTCAATCTGAATAAAAACAAAAATGGTTAAATAGATTGTCAGAAAGTACTTAAACTATTTACTGTCAGAAAAAAATGCTAAACGTATATTAGTAAAAAAAAAATATAATTTAACACATAAATTGTTTAAAATAATTACAATATCAAGTAGTGATAATAAAAAACTTTTAAGTACCTCGTCTTAAAAGATTTCGAAGGATTATTGTAAACACGTCGGTAGGGCATTCAAAAAATAAGACACATGAAGTATTACCCAGAACGTGTTCCTCAGATTTGTCATAACTGTACAATCTCCATATCAGAACCTCATCTACAAATTAGCTGCGACATCATAACAAACTGTACCGTTACTGGGTGACGTTGGATCGTTAGACGCAGAGACCGGCAAGTCATGGAGGCAAACAGCCATAAATGGCTGCTACTTTTGCTCGAATGACATGGGGGTTTTTACGGGTATGTAAGTAAAAAAAACCGGTTCCATTGTGATCGCCTGCTTAAACGGTGTCTGATTTTAAAATGCAAGGTGTCAATTGAATTGTATTTTTCCCTAGTGTGTCAGCTTCTGCATATCATCGTGGATTATGCTCGTCGACTTAAAGGTGGGTATAACGAAATCTGTTATCATACGTGGATAATTAACAAAGCCAATAACAATCCTGCGATAATTGAGTTTCGATTTTGTTTAAAGGTGACTTGACTTAGTTGGAGTTTCTTATTGAGGGAAAACATGATGTTAAGTATACACTTACCATAGATCGTTAACAACCAGAATAAGTAGATATTTAGCCAATCTTTATGTTGAAATGATGTAGGCTAGTGAAGGAAGTAAAAATAAGAAAGAGTATACAAAGAAAAGAAACGGTTTCAAGACTGCAACAACACGTCAGAT